CCCATATTGTAGCGAGTTTGGCTCTCCTGCAGGAGCTAATGTTGGATAGGAAATAGTGCGGTATTTCGAGGAGGGATCAGAATACCACGACATAGCTTGTGCAGGCGATGATCTGAGCAGGAGGGGTTAACTAGCTTTGACTGCTGGTGCTGAGTTGCGGTGTGCATTTCGGTACAAGGCTGCGCCATTTATAAGGTCAGTTTGTGTCCTACAGTATACCGATTGGCTGACGCCGTTTCTCTGGAAATGCCGTGAGATGGTAGGATACGCGACGGTCCAGAACATCTGAGTTGAGGTGGTGGGATCCGTACAGCTATCACTATTGAGATTGGCTGATTCCCTGGAAAGAGGACGCCAGGGGGGAATGGTGAATGTGCGCTGTCATGCAGGTGTCTATCTAGCCCATGCCGATATCAGATCTAAGAGAACTCTATCAGTGGAAACAATCACTGCAGTTGGCGTGAATACTCTAATGCCAACTAAGCCTATTTTTCTCGTTAAAGCCAAATATCAAATACCAGTTTTGATAATGCGTGCCCCTGCTAGTGGATTTATTAAGGTGTAGATAGTACATTTCTTGCTTTAACCTCAGGCCACACCGCATTGATCGGAGTTGCATTAGTTTCGACATCGAAACTAATACATGTCGAAACTAATACAGGAATCGACCGTGGGCTTTTCAACCGGGAAAAGCTGGGATAGTTTACCACGTTAGTTTCGACGTCGAAACTAAAGGGGACTGCGGCCTTCGCTCGTGCATTAGTTTCGACGTCGAAACTAAAGGGGACTGCGTGCATTAGTTTCGACGTCGAAACTAAAGGGGACTGCGTGCATTAGTTTCGACGTCGAAACTAAAGGGGACTTGTGCATTAGTTTCGATGTCGAGACTAAAGCATAAGCCAATTTTGTTTTGTGTGCATTAGTTTCGACGTCGAAACTAAAGGGGACTTGTGCATTAGTTTCGATGTCGAGACTAAAGCATAAGCCAAGGCCGATGGGGCTGCATTAGTTTCGACGTCGAAACTAATGCAGCCACGAGACTTCGTGCAACCAATCACAACTCTCAGTTTAGTCTTCCAATGAGACTGTCTCCTCAGCACATGAAAATCTGGCATAGTTTCGCGAAGTAGTGTTCTATCATAAATACTGGCTATCAGCCTCCACAACCATGCCCTTTGACAATATTATCAGACAACCTGCCCCCCCCGAAACATCCGTGTCTGCCACAAACGACCCTTGCCGAAAGAGTTCTCCGCCCACTGAATCTATCCATCAACTTTCAGTTGCCGTGATTCACAAAACCGCCGATCCAAGATGAAGTGTCCGAAATGCAATTACAATAACATCACTCATCCAGAGCCATTTCCTTGTGAGAAGTGTGGTGCAGAAGTTCCCGGTTCTCTAAAGGTAATGCATTCCCTTTTATGGATGCATTCCGTGCGTCGCTTACCCGATACAGAATCCCTAGATCTCGGATCAGCCCTCGGCGACTAGAACGAAGCGTACACTTGAAACTTTTAGCCGCCACTGACGGAGGGGTCCTATCAATAGATAAGGTCGGGGGTTTGTCGTCATTCCAGTACCAATAAACATAGCAAAAATACTGAGCAAGGCATTCCCTGACTGCAATATTTTATTTCATCAGCGTAGGCCGGCGGTTGCGTCGTTGCACCCGTATCACGTAAAATAGACCTGTAACTGGACGTGGCATTGGTGGCACCGCATGAGCTTAATTATGGGAAACCACAAATAGGGTCGTAAATAAACGACTCCAGCTGGGGTAGTTTGGGGTTATTCAATGAGCAACTCGCAAAAAAATATTGCATGACAAGTAGGTTTGCATTGTTTGACGGCGACTTTCTTCCGGTTTTGTCTTTCCTGTCCGCCGTAGGCAGGGGGTGATGAGCAGCAAGGCCTGCAATTTAAATTCCAACGGACACCCCAGCTCAGCGACTCACCATCACCTCTTCTTCGTCCTTTAGGATGGTCGAATCATTCAAGGCATGCATTGCATGTGGCTGGACGCCTGGTCAGCAAGAACAATGTTCTTATTCAAGCCATGTCAAACTCTTTTACGGCGCAAGCACGCGGGGTGTATGGTCGATTGGGACCGACGTGATTATGAAAGACCTCCCTAATGAAAGTCCAAAAATTGAAGTGAAAACACTGCAGTACCTGAAAAACTACCCGAATATCCCAGTTCCGAACGTCCTATGCGACTGGGTCGACACCAATGGGCGATACTTTGTCCTTCAACAACGGATACAAGGACAAACACTCGAGGAGGCATGGCCGTTTTTAACAGAGCCTCAAAAGTCAGCCATTGCAGACCAGGTTGTTGAATTTCGCAAACAGCTACGATCCCTCACATCAAAATCTATACAATGCGTCGATCAAGGCCCTTGTTACCCGGCGTTGCTTTTCTCTGACCGCAAACCGCATGGACCCTTTAATTCCGACCTTGAACTATGGGATGCCATAAGTTTTAGCCTCCAAGGTCTGCCTCAACAGGCCTTGGAGAACCTGAAAAAGCGTCTACCTAAGTGCGAACCATACGTACTCACCCACTGTGACCTTAATCTTGGCAACATAATGGTCAAAGATGGAACCCTTACTGGAATACTTGACTGGGAATTTGCTGCCTATTACCCTATATGGTACGAATATGTCTCAGCTTCTTGGGGATGGACGGAAGAAGATGCTAGGTGGAAAAAGCTACTGCAGGAGCGTTTGAATTCACATGGTGATGGACATGAAGATGCGAAGGATTTTTGGACAGATTTGCGTCTCTTGAGAAAGTTTCCAAACTTGGATGAAAAAGGGAGAGAAGTCTTGGAAAGTTTGTCTTCAGACTAGTGTCAATAAACGCAAAGCTAGAGCAGGAAATTATGCTGAGAAACACATCCAGCCACTGCCTGCGTCCTTTTAACCAATGGCTGGGTTAAGCCGTTCGTGGCCGACAAAGCACGGGAGCCTGCTTACACTTGTGAGTTGTCTCGTCCAATGGTCCAATAGGTTAGTTAACCGGATTGGTTAGTCACCCCCTGAATCATGTGCCCCACGAGAAAAAGTGCACAGTTCGTCCTCGGGCGGGGACAACGCCCCAACTCAGGTTCCACTCCATGAACAACCACCCCGACAAAGATGGAGCTGGCGGATGTCAAGTTATTCGCTGGTACGTTACTCGCTGCTTGTGAGGCCACTGAAAAAGCGGGAAAGTCAAGTCTCGACACGAACTTCTTTCTTAGCGAGAATGGGAAGATGAAACGAGAGGATATGACGCGTATCGTGAAGGACGTTTTCGAAAGACTTCATGATCCCCTTACTCTCCCGGGTTTTATCGAAGCTGAATGGACTGCGTCCTCACCATTTCTGAGTCCCGGCTTACACGAGCTTTTGGTTTGGTTCGACTGCCTTCGCGAGAAGACGGACAAAAGCCTTCAAGGTAGAATCCGCGAACGCTTTTACCAGTTACTCTTCTACCAGATGAAGAATTTAAGTGACTTCTACACACGGGACGGAGCTCAGACTCTTGCCGACATGATCCCAAATTCCGGCAATTTGGACAAGGTATCGGTCAAAGAGCAGTTGTCCGTTTATATTGAAAACGGTGAAAAATATCACTCGTTATCAAATGACCTAGGAGGGCCAGGAACCCTATTTCTTCTCCCCGACAAAGGAGAGTCCTAGTACGTATCCCTATACTCTTAACTGGCTGCTGGACGCTTACCATCTTAGCTGGCTGTCAAAAGTGCCGAAGGGCGCGACACCTCGGGGACAAAAGACGCGTGTTTCTGTACTCGAGTCGCTTCTACAAACTGGGATTTCCTCTAGAGCGATTGAACTAAATACCCATACGGTAGCAGCGAAGATTTTGGATGACACTCTATCAGTGTTTAGAGATGCACTGATGTTATATTTGGGTGCTTGTAAGTATTTCACTCTCTAGCGGCGCTTTGATACTGATCGGATAGGTGGCGATAACTCTAACGCTCAATACGTCTCTCATCAACCTTCGTCGAGCCTAAATTGTCTCTTTTATGCTCCTCACTCGGATGCGCAGGCCTTGCTGGATAGGCGACCAGACGCGAGTTGTTCCGGAGAGCCGCATAAACGTCGCTGTACCGGGAACGGTGTTACCTCAGGGTCTGTAGGTGCGGAAGACGTGTTGAATATTTCAACCCAAGAAACAGAATTTGTGGCTCTATCACTCCACCCAGAGGATCAACACAAAGAAGCACCCCGAGCGACAAACCGTGACCCAGTGCCAGATGAGTCGGGTACAAGCCTAAGCTTAGAAACAATTCCTGTACAAGCTCCTGGTGATAACACAAATAACCCTTTACGGGTCTTTATGGCACCGTTCGTCATGGAACCTACTGATCATGTTCAACTGGACGCCTATGGGTCCAGTATATCGCCTGCTGACCACCCGCAAACGAATCCGTACGATCTCAATATTGTGCCTGCCGACTACCCTCAAATATACATGTACGGTCCCAATCTTGAGCCTGACGACCACCCGCAAACGTATCCGTGCGAAATCAATATATTGCCTACCGACTACCCTCAAATATACCCGTTTGACCTCAATCTTGTGCCCGACGACCAGTCGCAGTACGAAGTCAATATATTGCCTGCCGACTACCCCCAAATATATCCGTTTGACCTCAATCCTGTGCCCAACGACCACTTGCAGACGTATCCGTACGAAGTCAATATATTGCCTGCCGACTACCCTCAAACATACATGTACGATCCCAATCTTGAGCCCGACAATCACCTGCAAACATATCCGTGCGAAATCAATATATTGCCTGCCAACTACCCTCAAATATACCCGTTTGACCTCAGTCTTGTGCCCGACGACCACTCGCAGACGTATCCGTACGAAGTCAATATATTGCCTGCCAACTACCCTCAAATATACCCGTTTGACCTCAATCTTGTGCCCAACGACCACTCGCAGACGTATCCGTACGAAGTCAATATATTGCCTGCCAACTACCCTCAAATATACCCGTTCAATCTCAATCTTGTGCCCGACGACCACCCTCAGATATTTCCGTATGAACTTGACGATATCCTTGCGGTTGCACAACACCCATACACATCTTCTCCCGAAACAAGTCAAAGTTCGTGTTTCCCATGGTTACTATCAGTGTCCTCTGCAGAGTTTTCGTATCCGAAGCCACGTATAGAGGTGATATAGTATCGATCATTGAGAGCGGGGAGGGAATGCAGCGATGAAGTAAAGCGCTGGTGTAATGCGAGGCTCTCGTTTAAACTCGATCGGACAACCAGGAAGAAGGGCGGGCTCGCCGGGTTCCGATACTAGACGAGGTTCACCAGCAATAATCTCAACAGGTATAATATATCCATGGTTTCCAATTCCGTTCTTTTCTTTCATCCCGGCATTCTCCAAGATCTTATATGCCTGAAACCCAAACCCTCGAAGGTAACCAGGAAATTGACTTGTAGCTTGTTTCAGCTTAGGCTCAAGTCCAGGATCATCACAGAAGTATCCCTCTTGATCGCCCAATTGCGTCCACTTCGCTGTTTTGAGAAACGCTGCAAGTGTGTCCATGAGTGTGCGAACCTTTTTGGGGTGAGCGTACTGATATAAATTTGTGGAGAAAATTTTCAGGAGCATACCCTGAGTTCAGTAACTGTATGTTTAACCTCTCAAGTCCTAACGTAAGAGTGTATTTGAATATCAGGCCAGAGGTCAGGAGGGAAAGGCGTATAATGATTCGCAGATATGGCATGCGAGTTGTTGCCCAACGCTCTACTTTAGGTTGTGTTCGAGCTCAGTGTCCGGTCTTAAGGGCGATACAGGAAGCAGGTCATTCGTGGGATTCCTACTGCGTCAGGTAAGTCGCGCCTCTTCCGTTGACATAAAAAGACATTTAAAAATGATTTCGAGTCCGCCCGAATCAAGGGAGGGGCGGTGCGGGGTCTTCGGAAATTTAAATCCCGCGGACATTTTTGGCAGGTGGACAAAAAATCTATGCAAACATGTCAAACAGTCTAAGCCGGATTGAAGACGCGAAATAAAGCAGAAATAAGTCACGTGAATAAGAGTCAGCAATAAGCAGGGCCAACGAATCTTAAAGCCCCTATCCTATCTGTAAGCAGAATGACGGCCTACAGACTCCGAGAAGTGCCACGTGTGCAACATTTTCAGTCACGCTGGTGCCCAATAACTATTAGGCCACATCACCACCTTCAGGAAGAAAAAGCCATGCACAGAAGGTCACAAAGCCGAAATTAGGCGACCTTGTGCTAGGTCGGAAGTCTTTACCTCGGTGTTGGTATGCTTGAGGATCGCTCGCTCAAGTTGATCCGCTTTGAGTACGGAAACTGTGGCCAGATGTGGGGTTATTTGCCAAGCATGCTTTCCCTGGTGCCTGAACACTCAAACTGGATGCCCCAGGCCTCAGTAATCACATGATCAAAGGGAAATCTCTAAGAGAGCAATGTTGACCTCTCTTCAAAAGCGGCAACTCTTAATCGACGAGATTCATCCTCTCTTATCGAAATGCCAGCTATGGTCACTAGTCGCGACTTTTAGTGATATGGAAAGCAATATCACGCCTCCCAATAGCTTTGTTGAGCCCCCTTTGACACCCCCACCGACAGGTAAAGTATCCCTGTCGAGCGCGGTACGGATTATCAACATTTTCGAAAAGCATTGCCGCGGATTTCGTCAAGAGCCTTGGACGGAGTACGTCTTGAATCCCGACGAGTATAATGAACTACAGAATCAGCTAGGAAAGAGCAGTAGTTCCTTTAGATACAGAAAGATTCGGTAAGTTTGTTGAACCATTACCTTCTGTGGCACGTCATTGACTGGAGAGTATAATAGGTATGATTATGAGCCCTTCAAATCGCGCTTAGCCATCCGCATGCCGACTCCCGTCCACGAAACATTCTGCGCGAAGGTAGTTCAGGAAATCATATTGCAGCTTGAGTCAATTGAAAGGCAGGGGGAGGACGGCGCCGCCAGTTTCGCTAATGATATCAACTACTTCGCGTCATCTCGACTGCTCCTCCCTTACGATTCTGAGGATGATAAAACGTTATATATTCGACGTGAGCCAGATGCATCATTTGGGCACACCAAAGCGCGATATCCTGGGGTAGTGATTGAGGTCTGCTACTCGCAGAAAGGTCAACGGATTCCTGCTCTTGCAGATGATTACCTTCTAAACTCTGATGGTAATATCAATGCCGTGATCTTTCTAGACATAGAGTACCAGAGTAAGGAGGCGTCATTCTCCGTCTGGCGGCCGCGCTTTGAATTGGTGGAAGAAGGAGTAATGGAGCTATCTGCAGTGTGTAGTACCAAGCAGGTACGTATTTCTATCTTATTCTAATAATCATTTCGCTAAAGGCTATAGGTCTTTCGCACAACTGATGGTCTTCCCGTGGAGTCATCACCTCTGACTTTAAACCTCAGAGATTTCGCGACTGAAAGTGAAGTCAAGGAGTATTCAAGATTTGAGCAGAACATAATTATATCGACAAGGGATCTATGTCGTTATCTGGATTATGCCGAGAACAGACAGAGACGCCAGGAGCGACTTGAGGGGTCGATCAACCCACTACCCAAGGGTACGCGAAAACGCCGTCGGGCTGAAACCCCTCCAGAGAAGATACTTTCGGAGGATGAGGCTATCTTTCAATCGCTGGAGGAGTCGGACAGGAAGCGTGTTTGTGACCCTGATTATCGCCCAGGATCATTGTAAATCTATTCAAGAAGACTATATTTTTTGTGATGACCCCTGATGGCCAGTTCTCTTACGTTCTGTTTGTGGAACACGTGGTAATGTCTGGTCCCGCCTGTTGCAGACGCCCACCACCACAATTCTTCCTATACAGCGATGATAATATTGTCTTTTCGCTTCAGTATTTACCCGTTGCACCAGGATACAAAAGCAGAAGGCGGCGTGTCGGGAACGCGACCTGTGAAAGGATGTTCTGCGAGCGGGACCAGATTTCCAAAGAGCTTCTCTTCTCCGAATGGTATGTCTGCCGAGCCTCGAATGATCGGAAAAACAGTGCTCATCACGGTTTTCTCACTCCGGGCGTCATGGTCTTTTTGCACAAAATTATCAAAGGCGTCCTCGTCCAGCCCAGAGATCGACTCTCTTCTTCTCTCCAGCCTGGCTATAATAGCATCCCGATTCCGCGGGCGCCGATCACGAAATCCCTGGTGATTCTGAGGGTATATTCCAACATCAATAAGTGCTTGTTGGAAGTTGGCATCATACGCTGATGACCTCTTTTCGGACGCTGTGCGAAGAGAGGAATCGGGAGTATCAAGCTGCCTGGGTGTTCGATTCGAGTGGGATCTCGATCGGCCCGTAGTTGACCGACCTCTTGATTTCGAACGAGCTCTTCGCGCCATAGGGTGTGGATACTATAGATGTTAGACAGACTCAGCCCATTAGCAAAGACACTTACCCCAGTCAGATCACGGAGATCAGGGCCTCCAAGTCGAGACAGGCGTTTCAGACGAGCAACTTCATCCGGCGAGAAGTGTTTTAGACGAGCAACTTCATTCAAAGAGGGCCGGCGGGGTTGAAACTGGACTGTGCGGGTGGGAGGAGGACTAGAATCCGAGAATTGTCTATTCAGTTCAACCAGTGCGCGCTTGGTGAGCTTAATCTCGGAGAGACGATCCCAAAACGTGGGCAGATGGTGAGTTTCAGATCTGGTGTCTGTTCTTGAGCGTTTCTGTGGTTGTAAAAGCCAGTCTTTCTCTGTAAACAAGTCTTCCGTGTGAGTCCGTTTGTCTCCAGGGCGTGGGTTGGGTCCGTCGGATACGTGCATAAGCCGGAGACGAGGGAGCCACTGCAAGCCCAAGCTGCGATGAAGATGGACTCTCAAGATAATAGATTTCCTTGAGTCTCATGGTCTAATCTGATTGGAGAAGAACTCGGGCGCCAACTGTCAAGAACGCAGAGGACTCCTCAGAAGTTTGCGAGAAGTCGCCTTTTGGGCCGACGCGCAGGTCGAGTTTGACCAGGTCGAATTCGACTAGCCAAAAATGACCTCTCATCACGTGCCACTTACTGCAAATACAACAAACAGCTCAGCCTCAATTTGAGCGATGCGCGCCCAGGCATGTCCACCCGATCCACCCGAGCTGTACCAGTGTGAACTGGATTGTCTATCAGGTTTATCTCAGACAAACTCCAAAGAATCGTTTAGTGGTCCCGCTGAGCGGCTCTTTGATTCCTGTGGAGCTCCCATCTCACATATTGCTGGCTCCTTTGCTCCAACTGTCAAGAACGCAGACGATTCTTACCTTGCGCTTGGGCCTCCCGGCCCTTTCCCCAAGTAGCACAAGGCTCGGCTTTATTCTCGGACCGTACAAGAGACGCCAGACCGTCCACGTTCGCGCAAATGTCCGCCATGATTGACTTGATTTTTCCTCTACAGAGCTGGGATCCCTCATCTAGACTATTTCTTGCTTTTAGGAGGACGGACGGCACGGAGCGCTCAGCCAGCAAGGTCCAGGTCCTTGAGTTCGCCCTCGATCGCCTTCACTCATTCTCCGCTTGGTAGAGTTCGCGAGCCTATTACTAGCCCGCTCAACGTCGCTGGCGGAATCGACACCTCTCTTGTTTAGCAAAACATCGTGTTTGAATAATGGATATCTCACGACTTTTGAATAACACGGACGCCGAGCCTACAGCATCAAGCAGCCCTCTCGAGCCAGAGCCTCATACCGCAAACTCACATGGCAACAACAACCAGCGACATCTTGCAACGAGTTCCTTATCCCGCAGCCCTCAACCATCGCCATTTAGACCTCTTCTCCCAAAACGACAGTGGCCATTAGGAGCAGGCGTTCATTTTAGGATACCGCAAGAACCGGCCACAGGGTGGTCGGGCCCATGCTTGCTTCATCCGCCCTACGGAACTTCACGCATGAAGGACAAGAACCCTTTTAGTCCTGCAGAGGATGCTGCTATGATATACTTGCTTGAAAATCTTGGTGTCTCCCGGCGATACCTTCTTAGCGCTATACTTGGTCGTACTTATGGAAACATAGATATTCGACGCGATGAATTATACGGCTACAGGTCCTGCAGTAGTTGTCCATCGTGCCACATGGTTATGCAGAGACTTTTCAACATAAGAAAGCAGTAAGTTAGAAGCTGCCTCCTTCAATGAGCGTTCGTCTGACCCGAGATATTAGGTATCAAGGAGCGCACTGGACAATCAGTCAAGAGCTTTCTAATGGAAAAGCCGACGTCCTAGTCCCGCCACCACGGCGGATCTGTAGCTTTGAGAATTTTCCACTACCTGTTATTGCAAGGATCCGTGGTAGATCTAGAAAGATTTCCCTGTCTGTCTCTTCTGGTGGTTTGTCTGTCCAATGGGATCAGAGGACATTAAGAAGTAGCTCCGACCATTACCATATTTTCCATTCTCGGCCATTACGCCGTACTGGAAGCTGGACGCTACGCCTCGACACGCAAGACGAACGTGGATTTTCTGTTGGCTTTGAAATATCATGCGTGGATTAAATTAAACTCATACGTCGCAGTAGTGACGGGACCAAGGAGTACTCAGAAGTCGACCCTTTCTCGTATCAGCACCCTCAGTAAGTGTCGAGACGATGCTCTAGACTATCGGCCGACCTAGATGTGCTCGGAGAGGGGAGATCACACGCTCCGTAATCACCTTGAACGCCAGGCGGCTCGGCCAGCGTTCCAGCGTTGTCCTGAGGATCGCAGTGGTGAATCAGACCTAGAGCGGTAACATGAGGTACTGAATTGACTCGAGATGTCGGTCATTTGATATACCGATATTCCCGATTTAGTTTGGTCATTTACCCCTTTATTTTATGTATTTAGTCGTACTGTGACAAAGAGGATACACTCTCAAGATAATAGATTTCCTTGAATCTCGTTGTCTAACTTGATTGGAGAAAAGCTCGGGCGCCAGCTGTCAGAAAAGCAGATGGTTCTCAAAAGCTCGCGAAAAAGTCGTGTTTAGACCGCCGCGCAGGTCGAGGTGATCTGTCCTGATCGAATCAGACTAGCCAAAAGTGGCCTTCTGAGCAGGTGCTGCATCACGTGCGAACGGCTGCAAACACAACAAACACTTCACCTTCCACCCGCGATCAATCCCAGTTGTCCTGGCATGAACTGGACAGTCCGCCACGCCTAGTTCTTCACGGACGAAGTAATTTGATGGACCCGCTGATGTCTCTTCGTGGTGACCCCACGCCTTGCTGGTACCCTTGCTCCAACCGTGCAATCAGATATGCGCCGAAATGCGGAAACTCTTGGAGCCATGGCCGTCAAAATCAGCAGCCTCAAGCGGGCTTGGCATTTCACAGACAGTTTGCTGCACATCAATCCGCTGCTCTCGGCTTTCGCCGGGCGCGATGGCCCTGACTTTGCTGATTGGCATGCTCTAGCCGCTGCTCCAGTTACTTTCAATAATTGGCCCAACAGCTTGTCCAATCACAGCGCGTCTTCCCCATAGTGAGTGGCGGGTCGACAACCCAGGACGAGTCTGACTGGCCAGATAGGCCACACCCTGGATTTGAAATAGGTGTTTGCATGTAGCAAATTAATTTGCTGACTTTTCGAGAAAAAAAAGCAAAAATCGATGGGTCACCGATCCTGTTGTTGATACAGATCTCTGAGCAACTGACTTTGGACCGAAGACAGATGGCTTCCCAAAGGCTTCCCAAAGTCCCTTGCCACTTCATCGTAGATCACCAACGGGACGGTCCGTAGCGTCAAATTCACGAACTGCTTCAAAGGGACTTGGCTAACTCTCCGAAACAGTACATCTGGTCGCGGAGCCATCGTCACCACCCAGCCAAGGATCGCATCAAAACCCCGCAGGTCGGTCTTGATCAGCACTCAGGCTCAGCTGACATCCTTCATACCAATAGGCTGAACCATTATGATCCGGAGGTTCCCTCCCATCCTTAGAAGACTCTTTCTGCTGCTGCACTTGATGCATCTACTCGCTTGACAGGGTCATGCTGTGGATTATTTGTCTTCTTGATGCGGGAGGCGAGAAGGACGAGTGTCTTGGAGTCGCATTACGCTTTGGGCCAGGTGAGGCGACGACTATGGCTGCTTCTGTGTAAGATCCCCTCTGCGTATCTCTTGACCTAGCGTGAGAGACTGTGAGCTAACATTAGGTGAGTAGTTAACAGGCTTCTGGGCCTTCTTGTGCGTAATGCGCATGGACATGGTTGCTGCGTGGGTGAATATGTCAAGGAGAATGTGGTCCATAAGCCAAGAGACTTTCAAATTCTACCTCCTCCGAATAACATGGATGCAACTAGCCGGAAAGTATCAAAGCGCTTAGGGGCAAGCAAGAAGTTGATTCGCCAGAAGCGCGACCGTCGCAAAAATAGTCTCATGAAGAAATTTCGAGTACAGCAGCATGTGCGGTGCCGATGTTGGCAAGGATTGGGGAACAGGGTAGCGAGCCGCTCCAATCTTCCAAGTATAACAGCAACCACATCCAAAATCTTAGTAAAGCACAAATCAACCCTGGCCGGAAAACGCCTTAGCGCGTAATATTGGGATATGATTGGGTTAGGACAGGGATGTAATCTCTATCACACAGCTTAGGGTGTGACGGGCCATGGATACCCCACCTGAGCACGCTCAGCTGAGCTGGGAGCCCAGCGTCTATTCTCAGAAGTGGAAAAACCATTTCACTTCCTGTCTGCTTTTCGGGTCGATAATCACATCAGATCAAGCACACTGCAAAACAGCCTAACTATGGAACAAGCAGTAGCTGTCCACGGCGGAGAGTCGAACCCGTTGGACAGTACCGGCCTGTGCCTGCTGTCCCTCGACGGTGGCGGCGTGCGCGGGCTCTCGACCCTCTACATCCTCAAAGGCTTGATGGATCGGCTGAACCAGAAACGACCGCAGGGAACCCAGGCGAAGAAGCCATGCGAGGTCTTTGACCTGATCGGGGGGACTAGTACCGGCGGGTAAGATGCTTAATTATTGAATTAAAATGGTGGCAGCAGTAACAGATACAGGCTCATTGCAATCATGCTGGGTCGACTGGAAATGGATGTCGATGAGTGTATCGCAGCATACGTACGATTGATGAAAACGATCTTTACAAGACCGTCAAAATGGAACGTTGCTGCAAGTCTGTTTGGCAACATTCAGCCACGATTTGATGCCAGCAAGCTTGAGGAAGCGATCAGTCAAGTCATCAGCAGCTGTGGGGCAAACCCAACCGATCTTTTCAATGATCAGGTGGAGCGTGGCTGCCGAGTGTAAGTCTAAGCCTGAAAAATCAGTGACCATGCTAACATCTTCAGATTTGTCTGCAGCATCACGCAGGAAACTAAGGAGATTGTACGCCTTCGCAGCTACCCGAAACCTGGCAAACCAGATATCCCCGCCACGATCTGCCAGGCCGCCCGTGCCACCTCGGCTGCCACAACCTTCTTTGAACCGGTATCGATTGGGGCACGGCGATTCGCGGATGGCGCACTTGGGGCCAACAATCCGGTGGATGAAGTAGAGGGTGAAGCATCTGATATCTGGTGTCCAGAGACTGGCGATCTAAAGCCGCTGGTGAAATGTTTCATCTCAATTGGAACTGGCAACCCAGGGAAGAAGGCCATGGAGGATAACCTGCTTAAATTCTTGTCCAAAACTCTGCCAGAACTAACTACCCAGACTGAATATACCGAGAAGAAGTTCATTGCCAAGTGGCGTCAGCACTATGACAGCAAGCGGTACTTCCGGTTTAACGTGGACCAGGGACTGCAGGAGGTTGGACTGGCAGAGTATCAGGAACAAGGTCTGATTGAAGCAGCAACGGAGGGATATCTTGACCATCAGACAGTGGAGTTCCGGGTGCGGGATTGTATTCAGAATCTGGAGTCGAAGCAGAGTGTGTATATGGAAAACTTCGCCTAGTAATCCAAACATTGCTGACCGGACATACATATAAAGATGGAGCACCGGTGACTCTGACTAAAGTTCTAAATGTTTGTTTCTTGTTCCCAAACCAATAATGTCTACTGAAAGAATGCAGGAATATCATGTGAAACTCCAAGAGCAACACTTTCTTCAACGGCGATGTATGAAGACGGTCTGCATGTTTTAATTCCCTGGCGGGTTTGTTAACTTTTCTTCAGGGCATAACCGTACTAGGTGGCATGTACCATTTGATCGAAACCCCAGGTTCACCGGCCGCGAGAAACTACTTGATGAAATCCAGAAGAAGATGCACCAGCGAACCTACACTACAAAAATCGCAGTCGTCGGGCTCGGTGGTATGGGTAAGACACAGCTAGTGCTTGAGCTAGCCCATCGGGTTCGAGAAGAATGTGCCGTGTTTTGGATTCCAGTCAACACCTTGGCCAACCTTCAGACCAAATATCAGGAGGTAGCTCAGAGCCTTCGTCTGCCAGGCTGTGAGAAGAATGGTGCTCATATCCTGGAATCAGTGCAAAAGTACCTTAGTGATGAGAGCACCGGACCATGGCTGCTGATCTTCGACAATGCCGATGATTTAGGCCCATGGACATCACCTACCTCGGAAGCGGGAGTGAAACGACTGCTCGATTATATGCCCCGAAGCAGGTACGGGACGATTCTCTGGACCACGCGTGATCGCAAGATGGCCACGACAGTTGCTCGAGAGAATGCAGTTACTGTAGCAGAAATGGACCAGGCCGGGGCCTCGGAGATGATGCGGAACTATCTAAGTAATCCGGATCTTACCGAGGCTGATGAGGCTATATTACCAGGTTTGCTGTGGAAACTAACCTATCTTCCACTAGCAATTGTTCAAGCGACAGCCTATATTAATAACACCGGTATCCCACTCTCAGAGTATGAAGGACTCTTATCTGAGCAGGACGAGGAGGTAGTGGAGCTGTTGAGTGAAGAGTTTGAAGACGATAGTAGATATGCAGACATTGAGAATGCAGTAGCGAGAACATGGCTTATATCATTTGAACAGATCCGCAGTCGCAGTTCTCTCGCGTTTGATTGTCTCAGTCTGATAGCCTGTGTGGACCCGAAGGATATCCCCAGGTCGCTCCTACCGTTGTCTGAGATATCATCGCGAAAGGAGCAGACCGACGCGATTGGTATTCTGGACGCATTCTCATTCATCACCAGACACAAGAGCGGATTAGCATTTGATATGCATCGTCTGGTTCATCTTGCCACTCGAGGGTGGCTCAAAAGAAACGGAGAGCTGTCTGTTTGGCACGAAAAAGCAGTGATACGGCTTAATACGCTATTATCAGACGCTAGCCAAACCAATCAGATGGAATGGCGGGTATATATTGCCCATGCACAGTATGCTGTGAGTGGAGAGAGCAACAGTAGTAATGATGTGGTCGATCTTGCGCGAAGGTGTGGGAACTGTTTGGAATATGCTGGGCGATACCGTGAAGCAGAAATAATGTTTTGGAAGGTTCTTCAACATCGAGAGAAGATGCTGGGACCAGAGCATCCAGACACACTCACCAGTGTCGATAACCTTGGTTCAGTCCTTACCAGCCAGGGCAAATATGATGAGGCGGAAGCCATGCACCGACGAGCACTACAAAACCAAGAGAAGGTGCTCGGGCCCGAGCATCCAGACACGCTCACCAGTGTTGATAACCTTGGTTTAGTTCTTTCCAGCCAGGGCAAATATGAAGAGGCGGAAGCCATGCACCGACGAGCACTACAAAACCGAGAGAAGGTGCTGGGGCCCGAGCATCCAAACACACTCACTAGTGTTAACAACCTCGCTCATGTCCTCTTTAGGGAAGGCAAGTATGAAGAGGCGGAAGCCATGCACCGACGAGCATTACAAAATCGAGAGAAGGTGCTGGGGCCCGAGCATCCAGACACACTCACCAGTGTTGATAACCTTGGTTTAGTCCTTTCCAGCCAGGGCAAGTATGAAGAGGCGGAAGCCATGCACCGACGAGCACTACAAAATCGAGAGAAGGTGCTGGGGCCCCAGCATCCTGACACACTCGCCAGTGTCAATAACCTTGGTTTAGTCTTTTCCAGCCAGGGCAAATATGAAGAGGCGGAAACCATGCACCGACGAGCACTACAAAACCGAGAGAAGGTGCTGGGGCCCGAGCATCCAGACACACTCACCAGTGTCGATAACCTTGGTTCAGTCCTTTCCAGCCAGGGCAAGTATGAAGAGGCGGAAGCCATGCACCGACAGAAATTAAGAGATTGAAAGGAGCTTTACCTATCAATATGACTGTCGCCTCTTTTCACACTGGGGAGTATCCAGGCTTTAGATCTCTCTCGTATCAGCACTTCGCTAGTTTCAAGATAACTATTCAAATTTAGCGCGTAATCTAGTTGAATAGTGCACCTGAAGAGGTGCCGCACTTCGGCCAGGAAAGTAGTCTGCAATTTGGAACCGTGGCAATGACTCCCTTTTCCTAAGCTGGACCAGCAGAGCATTCTCATCGGATGAATGTGGTACTTTGCTCCCTGAAATACCCTTCGGATGGAGTACAGAGTCCACTGAATGAGCATCCGGAACGAAGGTAAAGTAGTATGCTGGTCTTGGACCGGAATCAGATTCGAGGCTGAGAAAGGCACTCCCACAAATTGCATGGGGACTATGGGACGAATGAACAGCAGCTTTGGTGTCCCGGAAGCTTGGCCTTCTCGCAGGACCTCGTTTCTTCCTCTTCGGGCTTGTTGTTGCTCCCTTGACTTGCACGGATTAGCTTCTGGCACGCTACTGCAGCTGCCCTTGTACTTCTCCAGATAGCACTTTCCTCGTTCCATTTGATTCCTGTTACAACCACTGCAGTTAAGGGACAGCGTACTAGGCTTTCAGATATTGGCCTTCGAGTGCCAGAAAATTCTGGGCTAGATAGAGCGCCTTGTTGACTGAGAGGGAGAAAATAGTGCAACTTGTCTCTAGGGAGAGTAAGAGCCTTTCCTACTGAGAAAGGGTCGCATCGAACTCATGCAACCATGACTTGGCTGACTAAATATCTGTGCGTGCTGAATGCGGGCTTGTTACTCTTGTGAAGGTACAAGCTGAGATAGGTGTATATTCAATGCGGTTAATATATCTGCTTGAATGAGCAATACACCATATGGGCCGACAGGGATAATGAGCGAATGCCTTGATGCATGCAGGTGACTTCGGCTGTGTCTAGACTGTGATCGTCGAGGGTTTTTATTCGCCACAGCGCGGTGGAGAACAGGTTCAGCTTGGGAAGTGCTCGGCGGCAGCTTTCGGCAGAAATCCCATGAAACACGTGCTTCTGGTTCCATTGCAGGGGAGGCCGCAAAATAGCAGAGCCACTAAATGTGGCGAGTGTATGTGGCGCAGCTGGCCAGAGCACGGAAACCGGGAGACTCTACTTCCTACTTCCAAAAAAAAAAGGTTTGCGAGAAAAAGGCCACGTCAGCTTCTCGGGCTTGGCGAACGAATTTTAGAGGGCTTCAGGCTGTTCAGGTGAAGGACTGAAGGCAAAGCGGCACGGGCGCTAAGCCCGACCAGTGCCAACCGGGCGCAAAAAACTGGGTGAACACGGACATACAACAGTAGGGATTCGCATGTGGTCACCCACCATACTACTAACCTACCGGCGTGTGGCTTAAGTACGGCTGAGCGGACGGGAAGCCCTGTTCTCCACACCCTGTGGTCGTATGTGCTAGAGACATTCTAAAAGGAGTTAATATTGTAAGAAATCCGAAGTTTGGAAAAATGAAGGGCATTAGCAACCGGATGGTGCGCATGGATAGCTAGGTCTTCTTTCTACCTTGCTGGACAATGCAGGGGCCAAGAGATTAGTTGGGCGACTCCAGCTGGAGAGACTACGTACGGATAATCAAGCTCCAGGACATCCTAGGATCCAATTGATAATGATGCTTAGCTAGGGTAGTATTTCCACACAATGCACCCTCGTGGGCCCTGGATCCATGGTACGGTCTATGACATCAAACAACCTGTTTAGGTTAGGCATTTTGTGGTTTGTACAACGTGAAGCTGCTTTGTCCGTATGCAGGACACTCGACGAAGGCTATACTCTTTGGAAACTTGGTGGTGAATCATGAGTAGGTCATGGCCGATATGCATTTTATTTGGCTCATACATACATCGAAGCATAGTCAATGAAGTCATCCCGGGAGGACCCTAGTCCGCTAGCTCGCTCGTTGTTTATGGGTGCCGGGATTGAAGCCCGCATATACATTCGCCTGGGGCACTTTTACTTAGGTTGATGACTTTGGCGATGCATCACCACCTCAGTCCAGCACGTCACGATGCTCGATCTAGACCATGGCGCTGAGCAAGCTCTGTGTAACAACATGGCTATAAAGAAGCACCGATGGCCCCATGCGATGTCGAGCTGTGAATAACAAGCCAGCTGTCTGAAGGTACTTCGAAAAAGCACTTCCACCAATTATTCTTCTTAGTCTCGCACAAGATCACACCATGCCTCGTATCAAAGGCCTTGCCCGAGACGGCCCCTACGGCGGCCAAGGCGGCAGCGCCTACAACGCCCTGCACAACGAGCAAAAAGTGAAGCACGTTGAAGCCTGGAGCGCCGACTACAAGGGCTACAACGTGCTCGGCGCACTCGAACTCTCATTCGAAGACGGAACGTCGACCGGTCGCATTGGCGGCAGGGACCCTCACATCGACTATGACCCCGTATAGCCATTCGACTTTCAGGACGGCGAGACCATCACCAGGATGAATGTCTACGCTGGGGATGGCGAGGGGTTCTGTAACGGGTTTGATTTTGAGACGAACTGGGGTAGAGAATTCACGGTTGGGAGCAAGATTGGAAAACCGAATCATGTACCGGATCTGGGGAGGAATGGCGAGTGGGCGGGGGCGTCGGGGAGGGATGACGTGCATGGGGCAGATGCGGTGGTGGATAATATGATTCTGTACTTTAAGAACTGAAAATGGGGCAGAAATAGTTGTCATCTAAGTTAAATGTGATGGCTCTTTACCTACTACTCAAATGACCCAATCCTGATCAGGGGTTTCTGGTTGAAAGCCAAGACAGACTTTTCTACGACAAGTCGCTGCCTTCCCCTGATAGCGCTGTCACCTATCCGAGTCCAGGCGTACCGTTGCCGCTCGGTGTAACTTCATCTCGACCGCTTTGGTGCATATAAGACGCGCCAGAATAGACTGTTGTGGTCTTTATGAACCCGTCCTGTCGCAGTTGCAAGGGATGCTTGACGTCCGTGTAGTAACCGATATCTGCAAGACCGCCTTTGCCTTGCCCGAGACGCCACGAACCTAAGCGAGGGCGAATCAAAGCAGGACACGGAGGAGCCAATCACTGCCCGAGCGTACCAGGCCATTTGGAGGAGGAGTTTGAGTATAGGCCGGAGATTCCTATTCCAACACAGAGTTCAGAGCATCAATCTACGATTCTCTTTATCCTGAATGCGTTCCTTCCTGATTCCGTTTCTTCCTCCGTAGAGATCGTCTCGCAGAATCCTTCTACGTGTCCTTCTGCTGGGACTGCAGATGGAACGCCGAGCACAGCTTCGGCCCGAGCTCCGTTGGCGACCGCGTTGGTCTCCTGGACACCTCGGCAATGGGCAATGGGCCTGAGCATAAACGGCAGGACCGGCACCGCATCCGGAGTATCAAGTACACCCGTCTACCCCGATTATGGGTGCAAGGGCGCCCCGTCGATGAACACGGGGGTTTCGGAGGGGAGACCTGGGGATGGCGGTTTGTGAATTACTCTTGGGAGTAGTAGAGAACACTTGCGGGGGTGGGGGTGTCTTGTCCTGCCCCTGGGGTACCCAGCGATCGGATGGAATGCGCCTCGTGGATCTAGAAGTGACTCTCATTTAGTGCCCTTCTTGCCGCGTCAAGCCTCTCAATTGAGAGCAGTTCTCTTTTGATCCAGCTATCCATGGTAGAAGAATAGGCCACGTATATCAAGACTCTTAGGGTCTGTTTGGGCTACGAGACGCGGTTTTTTATAATAAGTTTCAATTCGACCAAACGGACGGGAAGCCCTGCCCTCGACGGCACCAGGAGGATTGTCTCATCCATGGCTAAAATAAAGGCAACAATGCCCACGCGGGCACTGGTATGTGGACCTTGCTACCCTGCCATAGCATAAAGTGGTTCAGGAAGGGCATTGACTGTACCTAGCGGCACTATGAACATTTGGTGAAACAATTATATACGAGAACAGGGATATCCAAACTTGAACACTCAACCCTGCAGGTAAATCCAGCTCGGCCAGCGTCTTAGGCAGTAACATCTGGATAACATGAAAACCGCGCATCACTCTCCTCCCAGCCCACCCCCTGATGAACCATAAGCAGATTCCCGGGATCAACCTCGCGCTTGATCCTCAGCAGCCGCGCGTAATTCTCTTCGCCCCAGAACGAGTTGATATGATCGGGCTCCCACGGATCCGCCTCGTTGATATACGCCCCGGAACCCGGTGTAAAGGCTCGTAGAGGCTCCATAACGTCGTGTGCGCGCTGTGCGATCCGTTGAACCAGTTTGGGATTATCGATTGAGCCGTCGTAGGTCCTAAAGTGCAGGACCTGCCAGATCCCATCGCGCCAATGGGGTGCGATTGAGGCGTGGCCAGGGCCGCCGGGGAGATCTGATTCAGGCATGGTCTTGGAGTAGACGGTTGGCATTGTCAGACAAACGACGAGGATCTGCATCGATGGTTCGAGTGGGTTTTGCTGGACATTGAGAAAGTCGGAGAGGATGTCGGAGAGTTCTTCTTGTTTGCTTTGGACAAAGGACTCGCGCTTGACGATTCGGCTGGAGAGCGCCCATGCGGAGCCGGGGAAGATGCCCAACTCTTGGATCTGCACGAACGGGTCGAGGCCCTCGCGGAAGCTCTCTGTGCTCTGGACCTTGACGATGCCGAGGTTAAACGTCGTCGCAAACTTGGCAAGCGGTTTCATTGACTCGACGGCCTCGTCGTGCGTAAGCAGCGGCGTCGCAATGAAGACAATCGTTCCGAGATTGAACATGGTAATGTACCCACCCCACCCCTCCTCCGCCCACTTCTCCCCATTCTCAACGAGGATATCCAAGAGTCGCCGCTGCTGGACGGGGAGAAGGTTTGTGAAGACCATTTGCACGAATTGGGTTTCTTTCCTCGGGTAGACGCGCGTGGTCATCTCGGTGATTACCCCGAATGTCCCGCCGCCGCCGCCGCGCAGGGCGAAGAAGATGTCTTGGTTTTGGCAGCGGTTCGCTGTGACGTGGGTGCCATTGGGAAGGACGGCTTTTAGTTGTTGGACGCTGTCGACGCCGAGGCCTGGTAGTGGTTAGCCTGGATGTCCATGTCGGAGTGGGAAAATAGGAATTGGACTGGGACGTACCTAGTTCGTTGGAGAGCATACTGTGGCCGGCTCCGGTGATCCAGCCTCCTGCTGCGCCGACAGTCACAGAGCTTCCGCCGACAATGCGATATCCGAGTGGCTCGACAAAGTCGTAGATGCCTTGGAACTGCTGTCCCGCGCCAAATGTAATCGAGTCCCCACTGGACTCGGAGCAGCCGTCGGCAATAAAGTCCTTGTTCAGCTCGATGGGTGGTTGCAGATTGTGCATCCTACCCTGTCAGCCTCACCAACCCACAATGTAAGATCAAAAGGGATCAGTGGACATACCACAAAGCCAACGAATCCGGCGCCGAGCTCCTCCCCATATAATCATGCCCCGTATTCTTCACAACCAGCCTGAGGTTATTCTCACCCGCGAAAACCAGGGTTTTCTGGACATCCTCAACACTCCGGACATCAACATACTTGGTCGGCACACTGCCCTGCTCACACTTGTCCAGTATCGGCGTCAAAATATCCGGCCGGATGGCGCCAAACGTACAACTGTCCCCCGTCGTCTGACACGCGCCCCACTGCGACTGCACGTAGTATCCAAATTGGCCGGTTGCAAAGGTCAAGTCGCCGCCGTTCTTTTGGAGGTTTGCGCATTGGGCGTGGTCGGGTGTTTGCGATTCGCCGTTGTACCGCGTGTAGCAGGGGGCCAGCATGGGTTCGCCATTGCGGAGGTGGCCGGAGATTGTTTCGTTGAAGGCGTCCCACGTGGACTCTGGGATTGAGGCGACCGAGGCGCGGCGCGTTACGGCCAGGGCGAGGGCTTGAGTCGCGAGGGTCCCGAGGAGGGCGAGGTTCAGGCGGAGGGGCGCCATGCTGAGTCTCTTCGGTGTGTCTCTCTGCTCGGGGATCTGAAGAGCAGGTGGGCGCCATGGTTATTAAAACCCCTTCCTCCAGGCAGCCCACGGACCACCCCTGTCTTGAACTCTGCATCGAGTGCACGCCCTGCCCAGATCCCTTGGCAGACACCCCCCTCGAAGAGAATGCGGATGCATGATTGGCCAACTCCTCGGAAGGGATTGTCGATCGCCCTCGATCCGACCCAGTCCCACCATAGCTCGATGCGCTATTGACTTGGCGCATACCACATGGTCCAAATTGGTCATCGCCTTGCCTTGGTTGGAGCAGGCTCTAGCTGAATCTATTTTTCGCAGTTGACAGGTCGCGTCTCGTATTTAGATTTCGCGACATGATAGGACCGCTGGGCGAAGCGACGAGCGAAGGAAAGCAAACAAAGGAACAAAGTGTGCCCCGCAGACTCGAGCCTGGCAGTTTTGCTTTTTGCAGGGGATCGGTTAGGATTTCCGACTAATCACAAACTGCCGGCTCGGCTATTCCTGCAGGGCACGTACTAGGGGACATGGCTGGATCCCTAAGGCCGCTCGCTTATTACTTCTATTGCCGAAGATGAAGAGCCTGTCAATCAGCTGCCCTTGAAGGTCGAATCAATATACTTGACGAGCTTCTCGGTGGTCAGCTGGTGGGATGTGGATGAAGTGTGTGCGGTACGATGCGCCGGGCCGAGAGGTATATATCTGCGTCAACCCACCCCGATTCATAGCCAAACAACCGCAGGCAACATGTGTAAATGCGGGGAACCTCGCCCAACCCATCAACGACGCGAGATTACTCGAAATGGGCCATTCGACACTGAGATCTGGGCTGGACTCGAGGAGAAAATTGCCTTGGCGATATCCGTTTACGCCGCGCTCCTTCTGCAACTACACTGGGCCTTGTCAGCCCTGGGAACAAGATTCCATAGACCGCACCCGGTTCCTTCAACCATGTCCATAACTGCCACAATAATAGAGCCAAACCCCGCAGGCCAGGAATTTTTTTCCACAAAACTCCACTGTGCAGATGATCAACTTCTCGCCCGGGCCTGGATAACGCCCAGTTGGCCGCGCTGACACATACACCGACTCTAGATCTCAGTTCTATACTTTTGACAGGGACACGGTCTATGGTTCCAAATTTCAACCATCTTGTCGAAAGCCATCCCACAGAAACGAGACCCCCTCTCACCACAAACAACAGACCCCTCCGATGCTCCTCTAATGAGAATGAAGACCTCGGCAGGCAATGCTGTGATTCACGAACTAATCAAGCCATCACTACTTGGATTTTGGGCCTGAAATCATCCAGCACGCACGTGAAATGTACCCCTACCCCCACATCAAGTCTCATTGGTCGAGTGTCCACCATGCGCAGTCATTGCATTTGCTGGCACCGTCCCTGTCGGTCTGGGAACGATGGGAAACGCGGTCCATCTTGTACGGTACACAATCAAACCGCCTCTTTCAAAATAAACGACTGCAATGCGGCCACGAAGGCCACGAAGAGAAGCCCACCTCCCCAGGCTCGCCCGCTCAGCTGTGGACGAGATTAACCTGCACTGTGTGCCCCGAGCACGAGAGAGTCCATCGAGCTGGGTAGGTCGAGAAGAGCGGCTGCGGAATATGGTCATGCCACGTGGCTTTTACTCCAGTGCGCTACTATCAGATACGAGATCTAATCGCGATTCCTCGGCTCAGATTAGCGCGACGTTGGTGATGGCTGTGGGGGCTGTTTTTGGACTGATATATGGCTGGCTCCCTGTTGAGGAAGGAGCAAACTGAACGACGTCCAAAACACTTCGATCGCCACAAACCTCTTTTCACCTTCAACCCCCTCCAGACCCTCGTACTTATCTCTACGGGATAGTTTAGCAAAGTCAGCATTTATCGCAGTCATCGAGATGTCTATGCACAAAACTGACCATTATCGATCGATAAATACCAGCAAACTTACACGATCACAGCCACAGTGAGCGCAGTTGACTTCACGGTGCAATATCCTCGCCGATTCGGTGTCCCTTCCCGCGCGTTGGATCGATTTACCGACTTCTGCTACCCTCAATCTTGGTTGTGTGCCGTGCGATGAGCAGATTGCCGAATATGGTGCCAGTACGTCGGAAGACGAGTCTTGCTTCGCACGATAACGGAAAAACGTGTGTCAGGCTACGGAGTCTGTGATCAAACAGGCGGGTGGGCAGAGTATTCATATTCCCGGCTGATGGGATTGTATTGAAAAAAGGAGTGAGTCGTTTACCAGAGGTTCTCGCAGATTCACATCGTGAGTCTCTATTTCCTTGGGAACTTCTGCGCAGATCGAATGGACTTCCGAGGCTCACTGCTGTTATACGACTTGGCCGCGCTGGCCGGATCATACGAAAAGTGAAGAACCGTCTGCTCAAGACTGGGCTGGCGCTTCGCACTTCGCATTCACTAGACCCTTTTTGGCATTGAAGATGGGGGCCGGAGCTAGTGGCGTCAAACGCCATTGACCACCACAGAGAAATTCAGACTCCTCCAAAACACCCAACAGACCCTTTAATCTCGACTAAACCGCCTTCTGAGAAAGCTTCGGAAGCCCAACACACAGGCCCTTTATAACCCCGGCGATCTCGCTTCCACGGCACTGCACCGCATCCAGCTACCTTGTCGAAGATGGCCTCTCAGTCAAACTTCATGTTCATTGATTCGCAGGCGGATCATGCACACAACCTATCGTTGCGGAACAAAAAGCAGGTCTTTGTCATGACGAAATATTATCAAGATCAGAAACAGGCCTCTATTGATAGACTCAAACCACGATCAGCGCCGAGGGGTCGTCGGCGGCTTGAACATGGCGCAGGGACTTTCCCCTCTACAGCGAAGGATCGCGAGACCGCTAAACATAAAGGCTCAAAGGATAATCTCCCGCAGCGCAAGCCTCCAATCTGGTCGTTGGAGGCGTATTTGAGCCAAAGCTTTGTCGATCCGTTGGCCTCATCTGCAGTCGGAATGACAGACTCCATGAACCAATACTTCCACCACTGTACAAAACTGCTCTTCGTTATCCCAGGAATCCAGAACTAACCCCTTTACAGTCAGAATCCACTCAATTATTATGTGTTATCCCCTTGACCCTATGCGCATGGGCATGTGGTGGTGGCAAGAGGCGATCACTCAACCCGCGCTACTCTTGACAATTCTCTTTCTATCAGCTGGGCACCAGGCAAGCCTCGAGATGCATAATGGGGTTGACCCTCTGGTAGCCGAAAAGACATTCAGAAACTGCCTCCGTCTCCGTGGGAGGGTACTTGGGACTTTGAAGGACATTATGGAGGATCCCAAGAAGGCTGTGGCCGAGGCCACCGCTTTAATTATCGCCTCGCTTGCGAGCGGCGAAGTGCGTTTACATTCCTTCTGGACTCTATCTGTTAACCGCTAATTGTGTATCACAGACTGTCAACGCCAATTTTGAGGCCCTTGAAATTCACATGAAGGGACTGCAGCGACTTGTCCATCTACTTGGCGGAGTGGAAGCAATAGATCATGGGGCGCTTGCAAAAATCTACGAGTATGCAATCTCGTTCAAGCGCCTCTTTCCTAGACAGCACCAAGCTGACTGACTACCCTCAGGTGCGACGTTCGAAGCGCAACCTTGAAAAACACCAGGCCCGTCTTCGCCATGTCCTCCCGCTTCCGCAGCGAGATTCTCCAGCATGCCAAGTTTTTTCACACCCAGGAGCCACTAGCAATACCAAGGCGGCTTTCACAACTAGGACAGTCCTTCTTCAAGGCCCTCTGGTATACACAACTCGATTCTTCAGTGAGAGCCTATACGCAGATCCTCCACCGCTTGATAATCCACTACGAGGAGGCCCAAGTCTGCCCCTCGCTCATCACACCAACAGACAACGACCTCTTTCTAGTCTTCGAGCACCAGCTCCTCTCAGCAAGCTACACATCACGGCCAGATGACCCCCACGAGCCCCTCCGCCTTTCCTTCCTGCTCTACGTGAACCTCCGCATCTGGCACTTCCAGGGCATCCCATTGACCCAGTATCCAGCCGCGGCACTACGGGCGAGTCTCGAAGCGTCATTGGCTCACATACTGAAAGTCGCTCCCGACCTACTCTTCTGGATCCTATGGATGGGAGGCCTCGCCTCGCGCGGGGCAGAATGCTACGCCTGGTTCGTGGAGAATCTGAGGACGGTAGCGAACCAGCTTGGACTGCAGAACTGGGTGGCTGCCAGGATACTTCTTGGCGGGTTCTTTTATACGGATCAGCATGGATGGGAGGCGGAGAAGGCGGCGGAGGGGGAGCTTTGGAGGGAAGTTGTTCCAGAGGCGCACAACGAGACTCATCACACGCCCGTTATCTTTATATAGAGACCAATCCGAGGCTGTACACCTGTAGTCCAACAGCGAGACAGGAGATGGAACTAGCATAGCTATTTACGTCTTGTACACCTCACAGTCCTCTCAAGACGAGCAGGCCCGGATGCCATCGTTCGTCTCCCTTGAATCAACCAGACGGATGGACGACCTTGCATGGCAGGTGCGATATTGCTCCTGTTTCATAAGATGCGATGTACGAATGCGCATGACGTATGCAGTTGAGGAAGCTAAGAAGCCGCTACAACGTAGTCAAGGTATGCTAAGCCTTAACTTCAACTTCACCTGGTCGTGATCGGAACCGGACATTTCATCGTTCCTCCAAGGATAAAACAAATTTTTGTACGCTCTTCGTGAAGCAGTTCCATAACTATATACAGGGATGAAGATCAGATCTATTCCCACCAAGGCCGAAACCTAAGACACGAAGTTCGTCACCGTCGAACAGTGGACTGTGGAATGCTGCCGGAGTGAGCGGCCCACCAGTCACTCAGCTGCCCCTCAAACGTACCTCGCGTAGCAAACTATCCTTAATCTCCGCCGCGACTTCGGGAGTCTGGACTCTGGCCACGAAGTGCTCAAACGCTGCCCGATCCGCGAAAGTAAGTTCGGCAATCGCGTCCAAATCGGCATCTGCTTGCGTGCCGCGCAGTACACTGGCTGGGGTCGTCGGGCTTCGCCCGGTGGTACCCTCCAGCGGCCTTGCGACGTCGTTGGGCTTACACAGAAAAAGGTTGTTGGGATCGACAGGCTTCTCAATGCGGACTTCTCCATTAAGACATCCTATAAGTCTCTGGCTTTGGATTTCACGGGCGTATCTTGACGTTTGCTTGGATAAATACAATCCACCTGTGGTGGAAAGCTATAACCCATCAAAACGATCGAAGTCCTTGGATCTCCACCCGCACCCACTTCGAAATATGCAGCCAAGTGATTAGCCGTACTGCAATTTGTTCCTTCCCCTATTATGCTTATATCTCTTCAGGTAAGCCATCCCTCGAGCCTGCATCTTGCAGTCCCCTGTACAACTAGCTGACATCAGCGGCTGCTCGCCCAGTCCGCCAACGCATCCTGCCCAAGTTTCTGCTTGATGATATCGTGGCTAAGATCCCAAAGCCTGCGTCCAAGTTCTGGATCAGATGCCTGACTCGTCTCCTTGCCCGGCTTGCCGGGGTCCACCAAGTAGTATCCGTTCCAGCCCTTCTCCTCCACTTCCGGACTGGTTGCCGCATAGAGCGCACTGTACGACCCCTGCTCGGGATCGCGACCGGCTGCTAACATTACCGTTGTTAAGAGCTTTCCGAGGAGGCCGGGGTATGCGTCTTTCCATTGTTGTTGCATGGCTGTGTTTACCTATCAAGGATTAGCAGAAACAAGCAAGACATCTTAGCCAGGTCGGAACTTACTGCTCCAGGGTGTACAGAAAGAGCATAAATATTATCCCCATTAGGCCTGATAACCTTCTCCACGAGCCCATATTTCACTCCTAAGATAATCGCAAGTTTCGTGCGCCCATACAGTTCCAGCGGTCCAAGCTCAGGGTTATTGATCTCAGCAAGGGACTCGAACTTGACATTGGACGGCGCCATGCGGTGCTGCTCTGACGACTCAAAGACGATCCGGGGTGCGGGCGTATCAGGAATTTTTGATGTCTTGCGAAGGAGGGGATATAGCTGGTTTACCAGGTAGAACTGTCCGAGCCAGTTTACCTGAAAGTGCCGGTCGATCCCGTCAGATGTTTCGCCGTATTGGTTGACGTTGATACCCGCTGATAAAATGAGCTATGGTACGATACGTCAGCCTCCATTATCTTAGGTAGTTATGCGTCCTTTGCGACCTTGATCAACTTACCAGATCCAGCCTCTCCTCGTCCTTGACGAATTTCGACGCGACGTCTCGAATTTGAGCAAGATTTCCCATGTCGCAGGGTACCCATTCAATCTTCGCATCGTTCCCGGCTTCCTTCTTGATTTTGTCGATGGCGTCCTGGCCTTGGTCTTCCTTGCGGTTGACCATAATAACCCTCGCGCCATTTAGCACAAAGGCGCGGGAGATCTCATAGCTAGAACAACGTTGTGGTTAGTCACTTGGCCAATTGAAAGCGGTAATGACCTTACGACTAGGAAAGCGTCAAAGGTTGAACTGACCCGATACCAAATGCACCTCCAGTGATTATCGCAACGCGGCCGCTGAGGTCTTCGATTGTCTTCTTCGGACCGATGATCGGGTGCAGAATTGACTGCATAGTTACTGAGTAGTATGCTTGCGTTTGCTGGAGTTACTTTTGTCTCTTTGCTCGTTCTAATCCTCTGCGACTTATCGTTTCGACCTGCTGGGTGCGATCGCGGATTGACGGCCGCTTTTGTATGGTCTTCTCGCGTGGCAGGCCGCTGATGTCATACCTACGACGGTATGCCCTCAATGATAAATGGTCGATCTACTGACATGTGAGAAGCACGGAAACTGCCAAAGCTCTAGCCAATCGGACTTTGCCCGGCATTGTGCCGGATCCATGTAAACATTACGTGGGTCAAAGATATTCAAGACAAGGATATCACACCACCGAACCGCAAACTCAGTTGAGCCTATTTCACTTTTGACCCCTGTCATCTCAGGGCGGCTTTCCTCATCCTGCCGTCACCAATCAAATGGCTTGCGAGCGAGATACATTTCCGACTTGACGCCAGTAATTCGCCCAATGGCTGCATTTCCGCAGGAGACCGTCCTCGTGGTCGGTTGACTCTATATAGATTTACAGGCCGGCACATAAGGCACAGTAGCGATATAGACTCAAACATTAGGCACGGTAGGTTCTTGCCTGACTGCGAGTATTGAAATACAATCTAGATTGTCGAGCTCAGCCGCCGGAGTTGCGGAGTTGCGGAGTCCTGGAGGCGCGGAGATGCGGAGTAGCGCAGCATAGCAGATAGTCTGTACTCCGTATAGTGCTTTGAAATCGAATTTTGTATTCATATGGGATGAAGTATAAAACCCAAAATCTCACAAAAAGATCAAACTCGGTATATCCGTTTCTTACACATCTGGTTACGCCCTGACAATTAGCCTTCACAACGCGCTTTTGTTTCTCACAGACCTTACAACAATCTTCAATTCGAAATAATAAAATATTACTTGAAATGGCCTCCGGTCCCAGCGTCGAAGAGCTACTACAGCGCAATGCGTGAGGACACACCCCGAGATAACAGACAACAGCACACAAAAAGCCCGCTAATGGCGTACAGTGAGCGCGTCAAAACATTCGAACCGATTCCGTCCCTGAGCGAAATCAGCAATCTCCCTCATGATCAAAGCTTGCCTATGCCAAAGATATTCATTGGTATATTTTGACCCTGTCCATGACTCTGACTGATGTCGTCGCATCTGACCCGTTTCATTTGCTAGTCTCGTGCTGCGACAATCGCGTAGATCCCTGGGATATATTGGGGCTGGAAAAATGGGGTGTGTCCTATCTCAAGTTTCTTTTCGAAAGGATTATCGCTCACTATTTCCCAGATGCAGTTGTTACGCGCGGCGCCGCCGGACGTATGGCGTCGCAGTTCAGCAACCTGCTCTTCCTCGACCATGTTTTGAATTTCACGGATATTATGATTATGCATCATACAGGTTGTTAAAATCTTAGCTCATCTAATCTCTCACGGCAGTGGTTCTAACTGGAATTATCCAGATTGTTCCGCCCAGCTTTTTGGTAATGAAGGCGTCTGTCAGGTGCTAGCGGAGCGTGCCCCAGGTGCTAGTCGCGAGGTTGAGAATCTTAAACTTCCGGGGTTTGAAGAGTACGTCCACTGTATTACTCGCGGTAGCTACGGCTATTATCTGACCTTGATTTAGTCTCGAGCGCAGTGTCCAGGAGGATGTACAGCTGGTGAAGAGCTCACCACTTGTTCGCAAGGAACTTGCTGCACGAACAAGGGGCTTCGTATATGACCTCAAGACTGGAGAGGTTAAGCCTGTGCCGGAAGCAAGTTTTGTTTTAGTCAAGTGAGACAGTGGCTTAAGCCAGAGAGGATGTGGGAGCGTCAGACCAACCCTGAAATGCCATGTACTATATCTTTCTATCCATTTACTGTATCAAAATCCCACTTCCCACCTCCACAGGAAACATTTGCGTTGAGCTCCGCGATTCTGTCCATCATCCAGCCTGAGGTACTGTTCATTTCCTCATCCGACATCCATCCAAGGGTAATTGCATGAGCCAGAGTACATTTCCTTGATGTCGCGCGGAGCTGTACGCACTCTGGATCTTCCTGGCAATGTCGCTTGCATTCCTCAAAGCCCTCATCAACATTGAGCACCATCTCCTCCCCGTCAGAGAAGTTATCCCAGTCACCAATCCTCGCAGCAAGATGCGGGTATATGAGGCGGTTAAAAACATCGGAATGCAGTAGTGGAGCTGGTACCTCATGTTTGGTTGCAGTTGCAATCATCTCCTGCTCGAGATTCCATATTGCCTGCACCTCAATAGCTTCGACATGGTGGAAGGTGACGACGGGATAGCACAGTACATCCTCGGTATATTCCATTGTGCTAGGTCTCTCCCGCTGGATGAGAGGCCACGCTCCCGTTAGTAACAAGCCGGACTGTTCAGCAACATGCCCCAGAACGAGGTCCCCATACGCAGATCGATTCGTAAAATCCTCATAATGGTCTGCCACAAAAGCTATATGCTCTGTTATCCGCTGTATAGCCGCTCGAGAGAGAACCCATCCTGAACCCCCATATGCGAATAACTGGTCCTCCATAGTCACGGGTAGTCCAAGGAAGTACGGTTCCCTCCAATCAAGGCGTCCCAACCAGCCAAGCAGATTCGACCAGACAAGGAACGTGTCATCCTCAATAAATACGAACCACTTTGCATCAGGCCTGGCCTCGAAAGCCCTCTGGGCGCTTGGAAGAAACTTCCATTTATCGAGATCCCACGCCTTCCTGTGGAACGCAGAGGCATTTACCGCATTTGTGTTCTCGCCGATGAATTCTGAGACCCGATGCTGGTTCCGGTGCACTTCGCGATAGAACGCAAACTCCGGCGCGGACGCTTGCATTTCTGGACTGATTCCTGAGAGCACGTCGTGGATGCGATGGCCCTGGAATTCCTCTTCCATGTCGGACAAAATAACGTAGTGCGGGATGCATTGCAGCGTCGTCTGGAAATGCACTGGTAACCGCGTGCGCAGGGCGGTTGCGCCTGTTCGTATTATCACTAGGGTGTCATTTGCCCCAGGGAGATACCGGCAGCGCTTGCTGCCTAGAGTGCGGTCCGCGTTGGTATCAGGGTCTGAGGATGATGAGGATGTTGTGTCTTTTGGTGATGGCGTGTAGTAAGCTCCCTGGAAGAGAGTGATTGAGCTGATGTCCATGTTGAAAAGGATGAAGGCGGCAACAGTCAAGCCAGAAAGCCCAGCCAGGAGAGACCTGAACACTCGATGGCCAGCATGGCACACCGGCATGTTTGACAAGCCGGCCAAGTACTAAGCTGCGCGCACTCCCCGTGTCATTGTGGATGAGACAAGAAAAGGAAACAAATGCAAGAACGAGAGAAAGTGCGGGGTTGAGGCTCTCGGGCAGGCACGCGTCGGAAGTTCATCGAATCCGAGGCGAAGCGGTCTAAGCCTCCTGCAGAGTTGGCGAAGACTCGTATTCGGGCGCACCAAGCCTGAGAAAGAGGGGAGATCGGAAGGGCACCGCGGCTCGATTAGGCAAGATACTGCGAGTATCGCGTGTTTTCCACTGGATTGACTGCTGTTTTTCCGCGGCCTGGCGTCCGGCCTTTTTATTTGGCTTCTGGATTGGTCGACCCCTCACTTTGGGCCCTTTCGAGTAGATTATTCTGCAGCCTAGTGGTGTGAATATAGTGCGGCTGAGTAGAAACAAGCTCGTGTTGGTGCGGGGACTTCCTTCTCAAGAACTACATGAAGATAGTATAAAACGAATGGACGGCCGTTGTTAACCTGCCTCTCCAGTCCTACCACAAACGAAGCTCTCTCTTCCTCCCTGCGAGATCATCTCATTTCCAACACCATTTTCTCAAAATGAAGCTCACAATCTCTGCTCTACTCTTCCTCCCTCTTGGCGCCCTCGCCACGTCCCAGTGGTGCACCATAATTAATTCCAGCAGCAAAGTCAACTGCCGAGCAGGACCCAGCCTCAGTTCCAGAGTGATCCGCCAATTGACCCCGGGCAAGGATTACTATTTCCAATGTTACAAGCGCGGAGATTGCTACAATGATAACTGGTCAGTTATACTAACCTTTATCTCGCTGGCTGTGGCTGTGGCTGATCAAACATGCAATGTAGTACATGGGACAGACACATCGCCCCGGGCGTGACTGACTGCTATGTGAATGGGTATCTTACTGATAACCATTGCACCATGGGTAAGTGACCGGGCTTCCAGGGTCTATTGTGGACTCTTGGTGTTCTGTTCTGGCAAGCTGACCGTCTTCGTAAGCGAAATTGGGCAAATGTTAGGTTGCCAAATTGCCTCACTGGTGTGGTCCGCAACGCCCAGGCAAGCCAGACTGGGACAGAATCGTTTGGAGAGTCAATGGTGGAAGCTACGTTTGGCTATTGCAAGAGCAAACTCAAGTATGCGTTTAGAGTTGAATTTGAAGCTCAGTGCGCAGCCATGGGTTCTGATTGTCGCTGGTGCCCATGTGTATATGTAGTGTTGGAACCGTCAAATACCACATCGACCCGCAGTGCGACCTGTCCATTAACCTGAGTATTGGTTGAAATACGGCCAGATGAATATATATTAACTTACTATATCACGGATTCTAAATGTGGAAATAAATACCCCCGACCGTATACATAACCCCATCTCACCAACAAAGCTCCTCCACCCACTCCTCCCACTCCCCATCCATCCCATTACCCCTTTTTCGAAAGTCCACCACCACCGTCCCCACGTCCCGCCGAATATCCAGTCCAATAACATAGATTCTGCAGAACTCCGGAATCGGCCTACACCCAGCCGCAGAAGTCTCCTCAACCTCCCTGGCCCTCTGCGCGACGGCGGCGAGTATACAGCCCTCCCAGACGCCGTCCGGACATGCGGCGATCTCAGATAACAGCGTGATCGCCTCGTCGCGAAGGCTCGCGTCTCGGCATTTGGTCGCGGCGAAGTAGAGAGGGTGGATGGTGCCCGTGGAGATGGGCAGGCCGATAAGCGGGGTGGTGTGCGCGCCGGCATCTTCCGCAGCAGAGCACGCAGACCTCGCGAGCGCCACAATCCGCTTGAACTCGGGCACGAAGCGGTCGTAGAGCATCTCCTCCGCGTACAGACACGTCGCCGCCGTGATGAGCGCAATATAGTACTGGATCAGGATGAGCGCGGCGCGCGCCGAGATGCGTGGGCTGCTATGGCGGGCCTTCTGGCACGAGTACGAGTATGTGAATGCAGACTTCCAGAGCGCGAGGCGCGAGTGGAATGTGTGTGTCTGGGCGATGAGGTCGAGCGGGACGTTGCCTGGCGAGTAGTACTTGTACGTGCTGGCGGATGTCCGGGCGAAGTGGAGGATCCGGGCGTGTTCGTGCACGAGGCAGGTTTCGGCCTCGTCGAGGGTGTCGAATATGTAGGGCAGATGGGGTGCTGTGCTTGTGGAGCTCGCAGCGGCGATGCTGGCGGTGATGGGGGCGCGCCTGCCCATGTATTGCGCGGCTTGCATGTCCATTTTCATGTACGCGCGTTTTATTGCGGGGTTGATGGCGTCTGTGATGGACATGTTAGATGCACAGTGCTACCAGAGAAAGCTTGACCGGTCAATCAGACGGCTCACCTTTTCCGTCTGACCCCGAGTGGAACATGATCCTCAAACACCGTTCAAGATGCCCCAACCCCGCTCGGAAGTCCCTCATGATAACCTCGAACCAGATACACACAATCCCAGCAAGCAACGCCGACTCGATGGATGCAATCTCGCGACCGCCACAATTACCACCATCCGACGACGCGACCGCATCCTCGACGAGCTCCTGCAGCGACGAGAGAGCTCTCCCATACGTTCTGAGTGCAAACACATATCGTTGGTTGCGCGGGCCGGGATTGAACCCGTGGATGCCCAGCGAGCCGTGCGCGACGCGCTCCTGGATCAGTGCGCTCAGCGCAATAACGCATTGTCGGACCGCGAGCTCGCGGTGCATAGCTTGGATCATGAGCGGGCGCCAGTCGGCGCCAGTCGCCAACTCGATATTGGTTGGACTGCTGGTAGTAGTAGGAGTGCCATGGCCGATTTCAGGCCCCTGTGTAATCCGCTCAATGAAATACTGCATGTACCGCGTCTCCTCGAAACTTGCGTCCCAGGGTTTTTGTGGAACACGCATTTGCAGAATTGATCGGATGGTTAGTGTTTCAGCAAACGAGACTGTAATCGGGTGGGAATCTGCAGGGGGTTTTGTGGTGGAGGGCGAAGGTCCGTCGCAGCGGCGCCCGGTGCTCGTGCATCGCTTGCAAGACGGCCATGTCTCGTCGCAGCGGATTCGGCGGATTCTGGAGCAGCGCGCGGGAAGGTTAGCGGGGTGCAATTGGTGGAGAGCAAGACTGCCGATAGACGGTGGCCATACTTGCATGTACGACAGCCGGTTCTGGATTTTGTATGCGCCCTTCTTGCCATCGTGTGCGCCTACTAGTTACTATACTGTAGTACCTGGTTGGACTGGAGGAAAATATTGGGCATTTTGTACAGGATTCATGGGATCTTCTTGCGCCGGACGCTATACTTTTCTGGGTTGAGGAATACGATCTGACCAACCAGAATGACTTGTCTGGATGATATTTTTAGCCGCTTGGCTGTTCCAGATTCTTGCTCCACTCATCGACTACGACATACTCCTCTGGGTCCCCGACCTCTGGACCATTGTCCTCGTTAGGAAGTTCATCCCACCCGACTGGGGCTGTCAACCTCCTGCTCCATCTCCAACGCTCACCTCTCCTCCCCACCAACACAACCCAACATCACCTCACCATCGCGCCTCTCCTTCCCAGTCCACGACCCGGGGTCCCTCCAATATCTGTCAAGGCACAGTCCCGGATGAAAGACCGTCATACAGCCGCAGGCAACGACCATCATCGCGCCTTCGAGAATCATAAACGAGACCTCGTCGTTGGCGAGGTCGCTGCTGAATCCGCCATTTAGTTCTGCGACGCGGAAGATGGAGCGGATGAAGATGAGGAGGGTTGCAATTGCGAGTCCTTTTGTTGTTGGATAGTGTTAGCACATTCACTGGCAGGTCGGCAGGTAAGAGAGACGCACCCCATAGAAACCCCTTCCACTTCCAGTCAAGTCCACCAGATGTTCCCCTTGCTTCATGGTCCTGCCCCCTCCACCTTTGTTCCCTCTTCACCCGCCAGAAAAACTCCCCCGCCAACCCCATGAAAACCCCAAGACAAACGACCTGCGCTGCGAGCCCAGCGATCATAATATTGATCCCCGTCTGCCTCAAGCCATCTTGATCCCTCCCCGCCGTAGCCGTGACGGCTCCGCCAGCGGCCTGGAGAACGAGGCAGAGAATGTCGCAGGTGACAAAGATCTTTGCGTAGGTTGCGGGCTGGAGGCGTGAGATACCCGACCCGTAGATTGTGATTATTCGGCTCAGGGAGAGGTATATTGCGGCTGTTATGAATGCCGGGGCGATTGTTAGGCAGATGAGGTATCTGGTTGAGTAGAAGAGCAGAGGTTAGTCGGATCTGGCATGGGAGGACCATGGGAGTTGGATGGCTGGTTACATACTGCAAGAACGCGGAGAAATTAAAGGGATTACTATGCAGGATCAGACGCCCCGCGTAGCCAATAACCTCCAGGAGAAGGCCTCCGCTCATGCAGCCGAGGAAACTCCAGGTTTTGAAGCGGACGCCATGGTAGAGTTGTGCGATGAGCATCATGGTAAATAGGGCCAGATAGAGGGCATTTCCTGCTACGTTTGGGAAATACCGTATCAGGGCCCAGTCGATGGGGCACGTGTCGGGGGTGCATGGTGCCGTGACGGTGGGTAGTGTAGTGGACGTGTGGGTGGGAGTTGCCATGGCTGGTGCGTGCTTTGAGGAGTGTAGTAGAGAAGAGGGTTTGAGGATAGAGTGCGTTGTATAGGGACACTACTGGGCTTTATAGATAGGACGTGTTGCTTGCGTCTTTGGGGTAGATCCCCTGGGTTGGCACGCCAAGCCTGTATTCGTACTTGGTGGGTCAGACTGATTGACTCGCCTAGAGACTTCTATACTAATATGGTACGTCTGTTTGCCCCATACTTGGTCTCTTAGTTTTGTTTTTGGTTCCTCTTTCCAGAACTATCAGAAGTACCGGTTAAATTGAGTAATCCGACTGGTGACGATAAGCCTGGTATATTCCCAAAGCCCAGTTTCATACATGGCGGTTTCCTGCATGCTAGATTCTGTTCTGTTCGAAGAGTCTTTTTTTTAGCTTTTTTAGTTTTGGGCTTTTTTTATCCCGGCCCATTTGGTATTACATGTCTTATATAGGGCTAAGTGACTTGTGTTTTCCCGGTAGGCAGTGCCTAACCACTGTTCCCAGTTAGATTTGAGTCAATTCATCTCGTGGATATATATCTGTCTTAACACGCGTCCGGCTACCCAACGCCCGTTGGTTCTCTCCTAATCTTATACCGCTTCAGAGACAAGACAAGAACCACTAGGACAGCTGTTCGGAGTAGTCAAGAGATTTACCCCCACTCTCTCCCTGAAGCTACCCGGCCCTTAGGTGATATCCATCTAGAAGCCGCAATATACCTCTCTTTTCATAGTGACGAGCCACATATGGATATGCACGCAATGAAAGCGTTCCAGGAACTGCCTCATTGTATTTAATGATCCCGAGGGGCTGCATTGCTGGGCCGTTTGGGCTTCATGACGAGCTTTCAGCGGAAGTCCCCTGCTTCCACGACGTTTACAGTATTTTAGACTACAAGGGACACCTTGATGGTTCAACGGAAGTAGCGCTGGTGGGGACAGGAGCTAATTCTCTGTCCCCTGACGCTTACCACACACGATCATCACTAGGTAACACCACGACAATGCAAAGGGTGTTGTAGCTTAAACAATCATATTCCCAGAAAGCAAGTTATCAGGACAGACTGTATCCACGGTCACTAAGAGACTACTGAGGTCACAGACTGTGACGGTGCAATATGTCCTCTGTTTCTGTAACAGCTCGACCTCCCTTTGTCTTTGGCAATTCGACTGTTGTGGTGAATAGCCTCGTCCCTACATCTGGGCTTACTCAGCGAGAGGATAGCCCTCCGGCGGAGTTGCAAAAGCCTCGCATACTTGTGGAAAGATAAAAAGGTCTGGGGCATCGAGGAGGGTAGCGTTGGCGAGGGGTACGCGTTGGCCGACAACCTCGCCCCATCCTTCGAGGACAAGGTTGGCCCCGACGGTCGAGTCGATTTTAACCCCGAACTGGCCGCCGCTGGGCTCACAGAAGCCGCTTTCGTCTTAAGAAGGTTAGCTGGGTTCGAAAAGCGGGGGAAATGGGCAGGGTAGGGCTACCTACCAAAACCACCAGAGGTGGTCAATGTTAGCTGAGGGATTTTGAGCGAGAGGTCGACACCAAAGCCGTTGTCCTCTGTACTCGATAATCAGCTCTCCTCCACACATTCCTGTTACGCTAGGTAAAACGTACCCAAAACAGTAAGACTAACGGTAGCAACGATCTCAGTATACAGACGCGTCTGTGCATCGATCTGCGCATGTAGCGCCAATGGGTTCACCTCAATGCCCGGTGTCCAACCGTAAAACTGGCCGGAATTTGCTGCTTTCAAGTCTAAGTCCACAATAGCGGTATCCGGTATTTCTGCTGTGACTCCTGTAGTAAAGTCCGCGGTACCCCTGATGTAGTCAATCACATATCCGGCGTTAATCTTGAAAGACGGGCCAAACTGGAATACACCAGGAACCCTCCAGCCAGAAACGGGATAATCAAGTAGGGTGACCTCTCCTGATGGCTGGCTAGAATCGCGGAAATCTACATCTCCATCAAGCTCCAGGCTTACTCCAAGGCGGATCTTGACGCCCTGCGGCTTGATAGAGAGCTCTAGCTTGTCGATTTTGACGCCTGTCCCGCTGAGGCTACCTTCCACATGCCCGGCTAGAGCTAATATGCCCTCCGTACTGCAGTCCGTGCAATTCGCGCGCAGCCTAGCATTTGGAAAGCCCGATTTATCCTCCCAGATTAGGATCTCCTCTGGAAAGCTCGTGCTGACATCGAGCATCAAGCTCCCATCCAGGTCGGGGAAGGAATTGCGTCTGTTGTAACCCTGCTCAAAAGTACCTTTACCAAAATCAAGCACAAAGGTACCTATCACCTTCTTCCACGTACTCGGGCTCGCCTCGAGAACTATCTTGCTCTCCTTGTTGTCAAATTCGACCTTTGTCACAACCCAGTGATCATGCGAACGGTCACCACCGCACCCTTCCCAGCTCGGAACAATCACAAATGAGCGCAGGTCGTCGTAGTTGACCCAGTCCCACGCGACCTTTGCAGCCTCGTATATGAGAGGGTGCTTGAAGCGCAGTGAAAAGTCTTGCGCGGTGCAGCTTGTCGTCGGGTCCAGCGCAAAAGTGAACCGGTCCATGTCGATGATCTTTTCGTTTTGCTTTGAGTAAGCGATCATGCTTACGACTACAGGTTTTTCGCCCGGCACTGCTTTCCTGTTAACGTCTCCCTCCGCTGAGTTGCCGCTGTATGGCATTGCGAAGACGTACTCTCACTCGAAGCCCACATGAACTTCTCGTAATCCGCCAGGGCCACAGAAGCAGTGGCATCTGCGCGATTAGCAAGCGAGTCGGCCCATACATGCCGAGGAACAGGAGCGAGGTCTTTGAAGGTAGGGTCAGGCACGACCAACTCAGCGAAACCGTGCGAGATCCAAAGAGTGGCTACAACGAGAAAGCTAAGCATCGTGAGTATGGGAAAAGAATGGAGTAAGAACGGATCGACGCGGTCGAGGCCGGGTTATTTGAAAGCAGAATGTACCGGGCCTTTTATCACGCTCTTCACCACATGCTTTTCGTATGTGATATCTCCGGCCGGCTATTTATCCACCCTTGCCCCGTGAAGCCTGCCTCCCCAGTTTCCCCGAGGTTTTTATTTTCCTTTCAGGAGAGGCTTAACGTAGATTCGCTGAGGTTGATCTTAGGGAGCCACTGCGAGTCCCAGCGTAGGGAACATGAAATCAGATCGAGTGAAGTCGAAAGGTGAAACGAACTTTCATCGGATTTAAGCAGCGCCAATGGTTCAGAAACATTAGATATAGGGGGAGAATATACTTACTTGAGGAAGGAACCGCTCAACGTTGTATAGAGACCAGGGTGTAGAAGAGAAAGCGTGATATACTTCAATTCAATCACGCGTCTTGTCGCACGATGATTGAAATCCTACATCGAGTTCCATCACGGAAGCTCCTAACTCCTGGCTAACATTCTACAGACAATTCCTTGCATAGCTGACGTGAACCAGCCTTCTGCGGAGTTATTTATATCTAATGATGTTAAGGCCCTGGTGCCTGAGGCTGCTGGGGCACATGTCTGCCTCCGAGATAGCTTCGCTCCGCTGGCTGCTCCGTCTACAGAAACACAGCCGTCTTCATGATGTCTCTCCTTTCTCGACTGGCTGAGCCGTCAGCTTGGAATCGAACTGCTTATTCTCGGCACGATCCGCCCCTTTGAGCCACAATCTTGCCATTTGTTCCTCGAGTCGCTCATGTTCCTTTAGCCTAACAACGCCACACCTTCATCTCGGACCGCCCACAAATCCCCTAAAGCATCCTCTCACCTACGATTGCTTTGAAACTGAGCCCGACCGACACAATGTGGCTGGGCAGCGCTTGCGCGGGAACAGCAAATCATTCAATGCCACATCTCGTGTGCATGATGCTAGGCAAAAACCACGAATCGTGGCGTTTTCACGGATGGGGTGTGTCACACCCGATAGTGGCTATGCTACAGCCTTGCCAACATTCGGTCTTCAGCTTGCTCATAATCTGACACTTCCCCCATTAAGATTCTTTTCCGTATCCTTCCTTTGACTTGAAGGACTTTCACGTCGACAGTCGAGGGCACAATGTCCGACCCATTTTCGGTCACTGGAAGCGCGGTCGGCGTAGTTTCGCTCGGGGTCACGATCTGCCAAGGGTTTCTCGCTTACTATGGGCCGTATAAGTCGTTTCATGAGGATATAGAGGAGGTACTAGCTCGGGTGCAAAGTCTCAGTAGCCTCATGACCGTCCTGCACGAAACGGTTACCACTTTGCCAGTCGCCCCGGCACCATCGGGTCCCCAACCAGTCGATTTAGCGACGCAGAATATCGGGTTGTGCCAGAGTGGAATCCAAAAGCTGGAGCGGATCCTCGAAAAGTGTCGGAAAAATTGCCCACCCAGCGCGCAAAAGGTGTCGAAATTGAAATCACAATTTGACCGCTTGTTGTATCCTTTTCATCAAGACACCCTGGTAAAGGTAATGGATACAGTGACCTGGTTACAGTCCAATGTCGATACCTCCCTTCAACTGTTACAGATGTGAGTGACTTTGGTGGGAACTGCGTACTGTGCTGAAGCTTCTCTAGGACAGTGATAAACGCCGGACAACAATCCTTGGGCACGATTTTATTAAACTCATCGTCGACTGTTGTGAACACAACCAAGATCGTCGCCGGATTGGGGAGATTGGAGGCGAAAAGCTCTGCCTTTGATACGGCCCTCGTTGCGGTATCACAGCGAATGGATGAAATGGTATGAACGCGGGACTATGTACGGCACCTTTCTAACATGTACTGGCGCAGGAATTGCATATGAAAGCTAGCAGCAGCCGACCGGTTACGGACCCTGCCCTCTTGCGATCACTGCTACGCAATCAAGTGGAGAACGGCGACCGTATCAATACCCTGATATCAGATTATTCGAAAACCTCCCGCACACCGAAGCAAAGGCTACTGTGCCGATGCCGGCCGACTCCCATGGCAATCAGCGCCCCCCAGATGGGTTTCTCGCATAAAGCGTGGTGTCCTATCAGCAACCAGCAGAAGAACATAGTATCTCTGGCATTCACATATACAGTTTGCAGTAGATTTCTGAATTTCTCTATTGCGGCCTCGTTTGCCATGACAAACGGCGCTGGGGGCCTGGCGATCAGCCCAAATCTACAATTTCGCGCCATTGTCCCTTCTAATTCACCGGCCTTCAAGCTTCTTCTGCGTTCTGGCAGCGGTCGAGATGGCTCAGCCATACGGAGCAGTCACAAGGCTCTATTCGAACTCTTCTATGCTGGTCTGGCGTCACCAACGGATACCTTGGGAAACGGAACGACCCTTTTGCACGTAGGCTAATCTCCTACTAGAGTGTCATGAGCCATTACTTACTGGGTGGAATAATAGGCAATAGCGGGCTGGCAACTTGAAAGCTACACCTGGGATGACGGTTCGTGGGCGAACTGGCAGGCTTTGATAAATGACCTATTGGCGACAGGTGTACCGCCAAGTTCTGTAGATTCGTCGAACAGAACACCAGTCGATAAAATAATCGCTTACCATGACAGTGACCCAATTCGACCCTCAGAGTCATCTCGGATAACTCATACAGTGCGAACTTGCCTTGAACTACTCAGAGCCGGTTCAGTCATAACATCGTACGGCCTTATGGCGAATAGCATTCAATCACTCCGCAAAATAGGATTCGCGTACAAGATCTTACCGTTAGAGGAGCGTGGCCGAGTCAGGGATAATACACTACGACTTGTGTGGGCAATGGTGGCAGAAGATGGAATGTATGGTATGTTGAACATGAGGCAATATTGATGGAGGGCCCCGTAACTAATAAATTTGGTAGGTATGGAAGTACCTGGTGAATTGCTACCCCTTTTAACAAAGTCCGTGGAGGATCTTCGTGTACTCTTCAGATCCTGGGCCAGCGTAGATACATCGTGGGTTCACTTCTATGCAGAATGGCCGGCAGGACTTGCTGTTTTGCTCGAATGGGGATATTCGCCAACTATTGATACTCTACGTCATGCCTGTGAGACACAATGCCTCCCGAGTATTGATATGATCCTTCGCTGTCGCCGGCTTCATTTTGGGTGGCATGTCCTAGAGCTTGCAGAGTCGCAGGGTAATCCTCAGATCCGAGAAATGATGGTCGGGGCATTCGTGGAACGCAGAAAGCTTCTAACGTCATTAGCTGAGAAGCACCTGTCTCCTGAGGAGCGTCGTGGTCTGGACCTACTGCCCGGTACCTTACTCAACCGACAAGCCGCCGCAGCATGCGCACTACTAGAGGCGCGGGGCTTGGATATCAGCGATGTGCAGGACAGAGATTCTTGTTTGGTCTATCATTGTTCGGTCTATGAATGGGGCGCAAGACGTATCGACATGTGGAATCAATTTTGGGACGCAGGCTTTACGGTCGCCGGCGAGTTGGATGAGCGCGTATTGTGGGCGCTGGCAGGGGCTCACCACCACCAGAAAGATCCTCGCCATGTGCGTTTCATTCTGGAAAGAGTGGAATGGTTGACTTCAAGAGGCGCGAAGATTCATCAAGTAGAGGGTGGCATACCTGTCTTACCTTTCTTGAGTCAAATACTGGGGCTTGAACTATCTGAAGATATCATCCCTTTAGTCATGAGTGACAGGTTGACCGAACGTTTTCACACAATCATCCTGAACGACATTCCAGATAGCTGCGACTGCCCGTGCGCTATTGGGGGATGCGTCGCGTTCAAGCACATGTGTGAAGAAATATTGGGTTCTGCGTCAAGGTGGAAAATGAAAATGCCCACCGATGACAAGAGATTGTCAGTGGTGCTTCAGAACATAAACAGCACACTCACACCAGGCGAGGAGAGATGCTTCTACCAACCTATAGCATCAGGTGCTCTCCGCTTTATCACTTTCTGCCAACTCGATATTACACACACATGCTGCTACCACTATCAAAAAATGGATAAGGAAACATTGCAGGAGATCCACGAAGAAGAGGCCGACCTGATTCAACAGCTCGACAAATTAGTGGAGGAATTTTCAAAGGCATACGAAGAGTGCTCATTGTTGCTCCACGAGTTTTTGAAGCAAGTCTGGAAGCCTAGAATGGATGAGATTTTCTCAGAGAGGCCGAGTGAGGAGGATGTCATTGAGCTTCGGCGCATTGGGGTTACTGTATGTGAGGTACCTTCCGGTGTATCTTGGAGGTCTCTTCTAGAATAGTCTGCCAAAGGGTGACCTGCTCTATCTATATATCTCGCTAATGAGTACGTTATTGGCCCTTATCCTATCATCGTTTGATGTGCAGTAATCATAGATCGGGCACCAATCCGATACTCTCCACACCCGGGAGACAGACCCGTCTTATCGCGGGAGCCCACCCGATCAGACTTACTAGATAGCTTATAAGACGCTGCTTAAACCATAAGATAGACCTTATCAAGCTCAACCCTTTACAGAACCATCAAAAGTATGTTATTCCTTACTTCCTACCTTACCCAGACGCCCGCCACCCTCTCTTGACCACTAGCCCAGCCTATCCCTAACCACTAACTAACCACCAACAACCAGTGTGCCTCATCGTCCCCCTTATAATAATTAAAGGCGCCGGCGACAAACATATTACCCTCTGTGCTAGTAAAAACGCCCTAATAGCTGACTTCCACACGACGCGTACAAAGACCGACGCACATCACCTCGGGGTTCTACAAGATCGTCGCAGGGAAGAAGAGGCCGGTCAGTATATGTATGTAGAGACAAAGTATGGTCTTGAGCGGCAGCTCGATGTTTTGGTACGTCGATGGGTGGCTCTCATTTTTATTTTGGATCCTGATAACGAAGGTACAGGATGAGGCCACAGGTATAACGCACCATGTCGTCCCTGGTGACTTTGCGTTCTTCCATGTTGGGTGGTATACACTTCAAAATATCTCCCTGTGTCATTTCCGCTGATACCGTTCATTCTGGGGCAGTTCGGTCTCGAGATCCCTTCGGCACTTTGGATGGAAATCTGTGTTTGGAATGGGATGTTGAGGTGAGAGAATGGGTGAGTGTCGGAGACTGAGGATAAAATCTGGGGGACGGGAAACTGACTCGAGACCAGAATCTGGCCGGGTTCGAATGGACTCGCCTTGTCAAATTTGCCAGTCAAGTACTAAGGTTTACCGAAGCTTTCGGAAATTCCGGTCCGCTATTAGGCATCGAAACCTATCCGGAGATGGCTGCATCTTCACGTCGATATCTGGTAGAGAATTGCGGGAGGTGTCCTCTTCAGATAACTGATATGAATACTGAGGTCGAAGGTTCCAAAAGCCTTGCTACTTTTCGGCAAGCGTAGCCCCCGGAGCGTCTCTGCAATATTATCAACCCGAGCAACCTAATGGGAAGACGGAATCTGTGACAATTAGCAACTATAAACGAGGTGAGGGGCTGGAAATGGAACGCATATCCTATGTAGGGTAGCTCTCTTTCCAGTCTGTTCTCCCTGCAGCTGCATCCAGACTGGACAATGCAGTCTGGCTCATGGCTACCGAGGGATGCACTTAATCATATATCTCGATAAGAGCAGTGAAATTACATGTGTTCAGATAGTGCAGTAGTCAAGACACTAGTCACAGAAAAGTCAAGTGTATCTCATAAAGCAAGCTATTAGCTGAGCTTCTATATCATTTAATCCATCACGAAGTCAAATCAACCGCTTACTCCGCCTTCCCAAGAACAATATCCGCCGCGCGCTCTGCAACTGCATAGACCGTCGAGATCGGATTTCCGGATGTGATCAACGGGAAGATACTCGCGTCCACGATCCTTAAGTTCGTCGTGCCGTACACCTTTAAATCCTGACCAACGACGCCACCAGCTTCCAGCGGGAGCATAGCAGCTGTTCCGCAGGCGTGGTGAGCCGGGGCCCCAAGGGACTCGCGGAGTTGAGTCTTGATTGTGTCCAGATCCGTTGCTTGGGGTGCCTGGACGAAAGGTGCAAAGTGTGGGGAAGACAGAAGTTTCTGTGATGTCTGAACCTGACGGGCGAGGAGCTCAATATCGAGGGGGTGCGAGAAGTATTGCGGGTCGATTGCTGGGTGGTCCACTGGGTGGTTGGAAGAGATGTGCACGCTTCCTCGGGAAAGGGGGTAGGAGAGAATGGCGGCGAGAGCACCAAAGTTGCCGGGGTATGTGCCGAGGATGTTGAATTCTGAGGCTTCGTTTGCTTGTTTGATGAGGGATTTGGTGACAGCTTCGCGATAGCTGGATCCTGCATACCGGGCCAGCATGTTTTCGAGATCCTTCTGCTGTGGTCGCGTGAATGAGTACGCCTGGGCCCCAGGTGGCACACTCGCAGCTTCTGTAGTCTCCTTCAACGAAAAGGGGAGCACAGCCATGATATGGTTCTGCAGGCCTTCGCCGACACCTTGCTGCTCAAGAACAACATCAATACCCAAGTGCTCCAGTCTTTTCGGATCACCAACTCCCGAGAGCTCCAATATCTTTGGCGTATGAAGCGTCCCGGCAGCTAAGATCACCTCTTTTGTAGCGTGGACTGTACGCGTTGCACTTCGAATGTAAACTTCGACTCCAGTAGCCTGCAGATTACCACTCTCCTGCGTCGCAAACAAAACTTTTCGCACATTTGCCTCGGTCACAATCCTCACATTCTGCCTTTCTTTTGCGATGAGACCGTATGTCGAATCAGAGCTACTCCTCAGACCAGTGACAGGATCAAGCGTCATAGTACAGGGCCTGGTTCCCACAGATCCCGTTCCCGTTCCGCCTAGAAAGGACTTCTGCGGCTCTAATCCGTTTACCTTATGGGCATCTTCCCATGCCTGGGCGAGCGGGTTATTTTTCCCTTCCTCAAGGAGCGACGCGTAGGCAACTTTGATCGGGCCTCCTTCTCTCTCACCTTCAGCTGCGGGCAAGGAGATGGATTTCTCAAGATATGGCTTGAGCGACTCCCATGTCCATTTTGGGTTTCCGAGCCTCGCCCAGGCGTCGATTCCAGCGGGTGAGGGAGGCGTCCAGAATAGTCCATTTATGGCTGACGAGCCCCCGAGGAGCTTCCCTGCGGGATGAGTTGTCTCTCGATTGTTCAATTCAGGCTACCAAATCATTAGTACTGAGGTAGAAGAATGGCAGTCGGGAAAGAGTGTACCTGTGGAACAGTCTTCGTCTGCCAGTCCAGATCCGTCCCCGGAAGAGTCGGCCACGCGCTTGAGTCTGATACTCGGGGGTCCGACGTTCGATCAGGCCCTGCTTCCAGGACAACTATTTGCAGGTCGGGGTTTTCAGACAGTCGCGCCGCGAGCACCAGGCCCGATGTGCCGCCACCAACGATGATGTAGTCTACCGAGGCAGGAAGAGCGTCTGTCATCTCCAATTTGCGGAAAGAGAATTGTCCTTCGAGGAAAATGAAGGAGTCGAAGTTGAGAAATATCAGCAACGGGTTGGGGGACACAAAGGGGTTGTCCAGCTGAGAGATGTATCGATGTATCCTGCACGGGCACCTTTTGATTCATTTTCCCGTGTATAGTCAAGGGACGCGGAACCATTCCATGTTCCCTTCTGATCAATCAAGAACATTGGGGCCAAGATCATATAGAGTCATCGACCCCGCTGTCCGACCATGTGGGCCCATCAGGCCATGGGCGGAGCGCATGGGGCTGAAGGAGCGCGCGCTATGCTTCTTATGGACGAATAGCCGGACAACTCAGGTCCAACTATGAAGATCAGGTTCACAAAGCAATAAGCCCTCGCGCAGTAAGTGAGGATTTGCGTAAGTCAATGATGGCAGCGCATACGATATGAACCAGTCGGAAACCAGCGGTATGGCCCCCAAATGCAGGCAGCTGTATTGGGCGCAAGCTGAGAATTGAGATATCGCGATTATGCAACCTCGGTCGCAATAGTTACTAAAACGCTCGTTATTCATCTGTATAAATCCCTGCAGCGCCTTCTTGGATTTCGTAATTGGTTAGAACCCTCGGTCCCAGGACCCGGCTGTCGAGATCTATGATGTCTTCCTGAGCGCCCGAAGAAAAGACCTGCGTACAGAATCTTCTAAAATCTGCGAGTGCCTCAGGGCTGTGCCACGGCCAAGCCATCAACGCCTCGGAAGCATTCGCTGTCGATGGTTGTGCACCCGGACCAGCCCAGGGTTTCCAGACCTCAGCCGACCAAGGAAGGAAAAAGTCCGTTTCTTCACGCGCATACGGTCCAGGGAACCATTCGTTGGCCGGTGGGTCTTCAGGAAAGAGCCCTAGACCGAGCTTAAACAACCTCAACCACTCGGCGTTATCGGCCGGTGTTTGATTCCAGGGATCATCATCACCGTAGAGGATCTGCCGCGCTTCAGTGTGTATCAAATCATCAGTGATCGTTTCATTGGCCTCTTGTGCTCGACGAATGCGCTCCGTAAGCTGAGCAGTAAAGTATTCAGATGGAGTCGGCTTTGCTGTGCCTGGTAGCGCATCCGGTTGATCTACGCTCCCTCTAAAGCTCCAGTGGGCGTTGGCTGTGCGGGTTGCACTAAACGGGTCCATTGTCGCCGATTCCATCCCAATGAGATATGGTGGCATGGCATTTTCGACGGCCAGTGCCACCGCCGGTTCCAAGCCGCGGTGTCCTTGCCAGTCTCTCATGGTTGCGCCTTCGCGAAAGTGCTGTGCTAGATGTTCAGTTCTCTCTGACCACAGTTCGAATGTCTGCGAGCAGATTCCGCATCTCGATTCCACTCGGTCGACCTGCGACTTCCAGCTTTCCATTAGTGGTATAAATCGACTGACAGAGTGCACGAGGCGCAGATGTTGCACAAGATGATCCTTTCTGTAGAAGGTCCGAAGAACTATGGGCTTGGCTTGACAGAGACTGTAGGCGTGCGATTCGAGATGGGTGTCTGGAGGGTTCATAAGGTCGCAGAACACACAACGCGTGATCGAGTCTGGTCCGGTATATGTTGGTCCTCTTGGGCAGCATGTGTAGCTTTCCAAAGATAGATGCAGCGTCTTCTCGTGCCGTGTCCAATCATACTTTGTACGAAACGTGTCTGTACAGAATGTGCACTGAAAAGGCCTTCCCTCTCCGCCCTTTGCCCGGACAGCGGTTGGTTTGCCTCGACGTCGCCGCCGCCGTGGCTCAGTGGCGTAGAAACGGGTAAACGAGCCGTTCGAACTATGCGATCCGAAGCTCTGAGCAGATGATGGTGAGCTGGAAATGCCGGATCCCGAACGATTCGAGGAGGCGATTGACCGAGAATCATTCGGAGTAGATCGCGGGGAAACCCCAGGCTCATAGTCGCATCTTCTGCTTTTGACCACGGCGCTCATGATATCGTCGAGCGACGCGGCCTCCGCCTCTGGGGGCGAATTTCTCCATCGTTCAAGCGGATTCATCATTCCATTGTCCCTCTCGGTGTTGAATATCTCCAGTGAATCGCGCCGCTGCAGTGTTAGTCCACCACTCCCTCGCGCCGACCGATACTTCTGCCGTCTCCGAGCATTCGCAAACCAGGTCGACACTTGTGTGAGGCTCAATCCCGTCCTTTCGACAAGAGCCGCTTTCTCGTGCTTCTTTGGGTATGGATTGTCCGCGTGCTGGTCGAACCATTGCTTCAAGATCTGCACCGCGGCCCGACTCATCTTCACAGGTCCCGCAGAGGGCTTGCAGCTTGAACCGGACCTTTCATCGTCGATTAAATGCACTGCGCCATCTGACGTTGCCGTTTCGGGACGAATAGGCGACTCTAGGGGCGAGAAAATCGAGTCAAAGTCGAATTGCAACGGGTCGGTCTGGGTGCCCCGCAGAGCTTCGCCGAAATCCCCGACGGAAGGCGTGGGGTCTGCAAAGTCTGCACCAAAGGCACGCTCGAGGTCCTCGAAGGACATTTCCAGCGTAGGGCAGAGGATCAGCCTAACACAGGTTACACAGAGATAACTTGCGGAGGATGATGAGCAATGAATGAGTTGGAGCTGCTTGGTCCAGCCGACATCGCTCGAATCACGTGGCGTACCCAGGTGCGCCTTTGCGATTTCTGTTTCTGGTATAGCGTCGGCAAGTAACACTGTCCGTGGCCTTGTCAACCTTCCAAGCTTCGGTTCTCTAACTCAACACCATGAAACGCATTTACATTCCACATTGATACGCAGCTTTGGTGCACGGCGCGAATACTATGAAGTGTCGGCCAAACACATGCAGGGAGGCAGTGCTTCAATCGTCCACTCACAGTCCGTCGTGTCTCGGGTTAATCTCATAGAGGCTAGTGAGGCTGGAGCTTAGGGGCCCAGGCCAGCGGATTTCATTCCGCCATTGTTCGCGAGCTGACGAGTTTCCAGGAAATTCAGGAAGTAATGGCACAGTGGGTACAGCATAATCAAGTCCGAGTCAGGCCGCCAGCCTTGAACTCTGAGGCGAAGCCAGCGTCTTAGTTCAGCTGTGGGGTCCGATGCGACGGCCGCCCGCGGCGTACTATAAAGCCATTGTTATGCGCCAAATCGAGAAATCTAAGTCTGACACGAACCGGTTATATCATCATGCAGCCTCCTTTTCCCTCTCTCACAACTGTCTGGCACAATGAATCTTACGCGGACATCTCACCGACGCGCCCTGAGCTCAGCGCAGCGGGCAAGACTGTAATCATCACTGGAGCCGTAAGAGTCCCATCGCCAGTCTAGGTCATTTCTAACAATCCTCAGAGCGGCGGAGTTGGTCGCGCAACCGCCATCTCATTCGACCGCGCCGGCGCCAGCAAGATTGTTCTCCTCGGTCGTGATGAGGCAAAGCTTCAAGAAACCCAAGAAGCACTCTCCTGCTCGAGTACAGTGCATTCCGTTGCTGTAACGGATGAGCAGGGCCTGCGTGATGTCGCCGCTGCCGTCGGAGCATGGGACGTTCTAATCCTAGCCGCTGGCTATCTCTCCGCCAAGAACACACTGAAGGATGCCGACACGGATGAGTGGTGGCGCAGTTTCGAGACAAACGTGAAGGGCACGATGGTCACGTCGAAGGTCTTCCTTCCAACTGCAAACCCCAACCGCGCCGCGATAGTCGGGCTTACCTCAGGCCCGCTCGTCTTTCCTCCCTCCGCAGTGATTGGTGCATCGTCGTACTTTGCCTCGAAGCTAGCGCTCATCAAGGTCATCGAATTCCTCGCCGCTGAGAACCCGAATGTTTTTGCCACGGCGCTGCACCCTGGTATGGTCGACACGCCTGTCCTAAGGAAATTTGGGACAGATCCGAAGGACCTTCCTGTCGACAAAGGTAAGCTCCTTGCAAACTACTTTAATCGTGTCAGCGACTAACTCGTGATAGCGGAACTTCCCGGAGATTTCATGGTGTGGCTGACAAGCCCTGAAGGGTTGTTCCTCAACGGCAGGCACGTCTGGGCGAATTGGGACGTCCCGCAGCTCAAGGAAAAGGCGGATAATATCAAGTCAGGGCTTTTGTTGACGTCGGGGGTCTATGGCTGGCCCTACGGGATGAGTTGAACGATTTTTGTGTTCCACTGTCACGTACCGCCCCTATGTAACCGCGACAGATATAAATCTACACACACAAGATTACTTTTGTGCTTCTTCCCTGCACATAATCCCAGTTGTTCTCCTGTTTCCCAAGTAGGCAAACGACGAGACATTTTCGTAGGATCTTGTTATCAGTGCGCAGATATATATATTGCCCTTTCGACGATCAACCCCTCTCCCGTCGTCATCACAACAACATTGAGATTCAAGACGCTTGGAAAACTCCTTTCTTTTGGAATATATCCCCTAATTGCACCTCTCCGAAATATGAACACCTACTACACAATTCAAAGCAGCTTCCTGCTAACAGCGAGCGCTTGCCTAGTATTGCGATGAAGGCAGTGGGGAAAATGCCTGTCACGTGGTGGGGACGCTCTTGCAGGTAGCCTTGCCAGAAGATGCACTAAGCCCATTTCAGAGTTTTGATATCAACTCAAGAAGTCGAGTTTCGAGTGCTGCTGACCGTCCCGTACAAAAGTTAGAATTCATTTCACTACACAGGACAATCATTTTCCATAATTCCACACCCGAAATGCCGGCCGCTCGACCACTTACCGACGCGTGCGGATACTGTGGCCGCGACGCAAGAACCCCATTTGAGGAGTGCAACGTGATGTTCTACAGCAGCGCTGAACACAAAGCGCTGGGACGCGATTTGCATATGATGCCCTGCCACTATCACCAACCTCCGTCGCAAAATTGAAGAAGAGGAGCGACGCGTCCGCGCTATTAATGACGACGAATGGGCTGGGCGCGCCTTCGAGATGTGGATTGGGCGGTCCGGCTCTTTCGAGACGTATGGGAACTATATGAAGCGCGACTGGCCTTGGGAAAGGCCTATGGCGCGATGGGGACGAAAGCGTCTGTTACGCTGCAGATGGAGGAGTACGTTGAGATGGTGCGGCTGGATCGGGATCGGGACGACTTTGAGCAGATCCCTTCCATCATCCCTGGTCTGATGCTGCGGGTTGGGCAAGACCAGCGCTGCTATGATTATCTGAGGAGGTGGGCGTGGGACCCGTGTGATGGCGAGATTCCCTGGTTGTGTATGAAGAAAGCGAATGCGTTTGAGGATACTAAGAAGATTGCCGCCTGCTGGTCGGATCTGCAGCAGCTTGTTGCCTTTACGAATCTCAAGGTCAAGGTGCGATGGATGTCATGAACGTGCAGAATCTGACGAACTGGGCGAATGCGAATCTGGTGGGCCAGGCGCGACTGGACTTGGAGAAATATAAAGCAAAATACGTCAGTAGCTCGATTGGATAGAGAAGCGGGGGATCTTGCGGGGTACAGGACACAGCGCACTCATCCTAAGAAAATGCCAGGGCTCCTTGGTAGCAATATATAGTTTGGGCCTCTTATAGGAGTGCGAATAACCTTGCCTTGACTATACTAATCTGTAGAAGTCCTACATTCAGTAATCTGTCATATCATGTCTACAAAACAGTACCCAGTCAAGACAAGAATAGCACGTCATAATATGCTAATGCATGCACAACCTGGTCAGTATTCACTATCAGTAGATTCTAAAAAGGAGGCCACTTTGCATCATAAGGCAAGGTGGCCGAGTGGTTAAGGCGCTAGTTTTAGGCACTAGTGGGAAACCTCGCGGTAAGTTCCAAATTAAACATTCTTCTACCATCAGTAATCTAATAATCACCCAGAGTTCGAATCTCGTCCTTGTCAAATCTTTTTTTCTTCCCCATAACTTCAGGTCCTCACGTTTTTGTCGACCTTTGCCATCCAAAACACTACAAATATTTGCACTATACGGCAAGGTGGCCGAGTGGTTAAGGCGCTAGTTTTAGGCACTAGTGGGAAACCTCGCGGTAAGCTCCAAGTTTCAACATTATTCTTGGAATAGTCTTCTAATTATCATCTAGAGTTCGAATCTCGTCCTTGTCAATTTCTTTTTTTCCCTCCCAAACACCAATTATTTTTGGATCTCCTACGCTACATTTGCTTTCAAGGCCCAACCTTTCTTCATGGAAGAGGCCTCTACGATCAGGTCTACTCATCGATCGCTCCGAAGCTCCCTGGGAACCGTGGCAAACGGAAGCCGCCAAAGGATGCTCAACTTCTCCACAAGCACCCCCATCTGGTGCCGAACCTCCTCAACAACAAAAAGAACCCTCCTTCTCCTCGTTGTATCATCTACGTCTGACATCTTCGTCATTGACGAATCCTTTCCGGGCCAGATACGACCTGGCGGCTGGATTGATCGCATTCGCTGTTATCTTGCCTTGGCCTCTTTTTTCATCGTGGGAGGCACATACAACGAGTGTCATAACGCAGGCGGCATCTGAGAAGTATGCGAAAATCGCCGGGGTTTGTGACAGTGCGGCGGATTCAACCAGATCAGAAATCTTTTGAGCCGTACGCCAATTGTTCGCAATCAGCTCCGTCAGGTGTCCGGGGGATTCCAAATAAACACGCCGTATCTCATTGCCAACCTCGAGGTAGCCGGTACACGTTGAGAACTGCAGGTTCACCTTGATTTCGTTCGCAGTAACCCAGCTTGGGAGAGGAATATCCTTCAAACTTTTTCCGCAAATCAAGACAATAATGCACTGCCCTGTACTAACCTCAATTATGGCTTCTTAGGATTCGTAGTAAGCATGAAGTTGTCCCTCCACCATCCTAATCGGGATAGGGTCTGCAGCCCATACAATAGAGTTGTCGTAACTGAGACCCATTTTTTCAATTCCCAGAGTATCCGAAGGGCCGATCTAGTTTGAGACTCTTCTGGTGAGCCCTGTAAGCTTAGGCTTCTTCCCCAAGACGGCGCCAATCCGTGCTTGAAGACTACCGACAGATATAAGACATCATCATGTTGCAGCTGCTTTTGGAGTTCTTCGACTCATCGTCCGAAGTCGAAACCAGGCGTAGCCACTTCGAGTTCCAGATTGAAAGGGTGCAACCTTTCAAGACCCAAGGTTTCAGTTGCTCTTTTAAGCTCATTCTCATAGTCATCTATAGCCATGCACGGTCGGTTTCAAGGAGTAGTTTGAGCTTTTCTAGGCTCCTTGTTTATGTTTATGCCGGACCTCGGGCCATCCAGAGACATCAAGATCTGTGGAACTCTCCAAGCTTATGTAAAAGTGCATTCGACAATTTGGTCCGAGACAAAGACTTGCTTCTTTAACATACAGTGCTTTGCAGGTTCGGCTTTTGGCTCTTTACGCATTTAGTTTGTTTGCTCGTCCCAGGGTCAGACCACGAGGCCTACTTTTTCCGGGGAACAAGATACGTGAAAATCCATCTCAAGGATAACAAGATCACCGGTCGCCGTGGGAACATTGCCGATGACTGGCCTGGGCTTACGCAAGCTGGCTTTGATTGCGTTGATGCTTTCTTACTGCCTGAGGCGGCGAAGGCGGAGGTGTGGGTTTTTAGAGGGAACAAGGTTGCGAAGATCAGGGTTGTCGAGGGTCAACCTGATCAACCTATCATGAACCCTACGTTGATCAAGGCTGCCTTCCCAAGTCTATATTCATTTGTCAAATAAGTCAGCGAATGGTTTGCCATCGGACTTGGGGCATCTGGCCCGAATGCGAGCCTGGATGTGTGCCTAGCTGAACAGCTTGTTGGACAGGACGTTTTGCGTTCTTCTGCCGTTTTTTTTTTTTTTTTTTTTTTTTTTTTTTTTTTTTTTTTTTTTTTTTTTTTTTTTTTTTTTTTTTTTTTTTTTTTTTTTTTTTTTTTTTTTAATTAGCTAATATATACGAAGACCAACAGATTTCAACAGGTTCCATCGACTAAAAGTGAAAATTAATATTGAAACACTGTACCTGGCCAAGACTGCCCATTGTGTTGAGAACCGACCCCACTTAACTAGTTAGTTATCTGGACTTGCTGACCAATCATAACACCGCCAACTTTCGCAGGTTTTGCTCCGACCCTATTTGGTGTTCCCTCCCAGACAACACCTCTCCTCATGCCACCTTCACCTTCTGCGCTCGTTCTTCGTCCGGTGCAGACTGCCGTACCACCTGATACCATCTGGTCGCGCGTACCCGAAGATGCTTTCAGAGACCACCTCGTTACATTGGAGAAGCAGACGAATGCGGTCCCGATGGATGTCTTGACCGCAGGAGAGGATGATGGTATTAACAACTACGACAGCTCCAGTCAATTCCTGTCACTAAAGACGGAGAAACAGGTCGCTGATGACCTCGCCTACCTCGCTGCTGTCACCGAGGGAGCGCAGAGCGTGGCCGCCGTCTGTCTCACGCAACACATTGGGCCCTCGCTCGCTCCGGGGTCTCCTACGTTGGTAATACACGTCGCGGGAATGGATGTCATCGATGAGAATGTCAAGGGAATGCTTGACTCTGTTGTCGCGCAGCTTCATCTTGCGGAGCCCGACCGCACTCAGGTCATCTTCGGCTCGATCATCCAGCAGCATCAGCAGAAACTCCTTGGCCGACTTCGTTCACGAAAATGGATCAAGCCGAGGCATCTGGCGAGGACACACAAGAAGCCTCTATGGCAGGATTTTGAAAATCTCCTACACCGGGCTCAGCATATCTACCCTAGGAAGCCTGAACGCAGGATCCGGGAAGCAACCGAATCATCTATTCGCCAAGTCCGTAAAGTGTATGAGGATTTCGAGACTTCAGCCGATCAGACTGCCCAGGCGCTTCAGCAGCTCGTGAAAGCAACCTTCACGTGGTGCAAATCGCCGCTGATAGGCGATTACGCATCGAAACTCGACAGCGCAGGGCTCACTCGTCAGATCGCCGCGGCACTCAAGACACTTCGACAGCTCGAAAAGATCGGCTCATACTGGCGAATTGCGGAAGACCTGGTCGCAGTGGCGGACCAGCATCCACATATCTTCCAACGCATTGAGCTCCGGTACCTTACTCCTTACGCGAGCATACCGACCAGTATCGCATACGAATCATGGGCTTACACGTGCCACGTTCACGCTGAAATCCAACTCGTCGTCGAGCTTGCGAAAAGCACCTCAAAACAAGCTGAATCCGAAGCCGAAGTCGGTAATGTATCGACAGTCGAAATGCGACCACGGACAATCGGCACGAGCAAGTACCTGTGTTACTTATGTTATCTGTTCCTGCGATACCATGGAGCCTTCCAGATGCTCAGTACGCATGGGCGTCTGTATGACCAGTGGACTGTTCCTGATTTGGTCGAATATGACACGGCCACGAGGGATAAGTTCTCTTCTGTGCTTAAATGCTTGGATGAACATGTTGTGGAGCAGATCGAGGAGACGAAATGTGTCATCTGGCGAGCTGAGCCTATGACGAGTCGTCAGAATTTGCTCTTATTAGGTGCTGAACAGCCAGATGGGGGTACTTTGGAGGATGGCGTTGACAGTGTTGCTTTGTCCTGATGATTTTGCTCGACTCGATAAGTTGGACTCCTGAAGCATGAAATGCATCCTCGGAGTCTACAAAAAGATTCAACTCTTTCGATTTGCAAGCTCAATTCCTCATCCCGAGGCTAAGTGGCTCATGCGCCATACACGATTGCATCATTCGGCTCGAGTGTCGGGATCATCGCGTCTTGCGGTGGGGCAAAGAACATCAATGGATCCAGGGCTCCATATCGCCGACGGGGGCGGCGGGGTATTTGAAACCCCCCCCCCCCTCACCCCGAATTTCCAAATTCCTCCTCCTCAATTCTTGAACAGCTCCCGTCTATCCAGTCGCATCACCTTAATCCCTTCCTTCGACCTCCCACCACGACCTAGCAGCAAAATGAGCATCCCGCGACCTCCCCTCGACCCAGACCTGGATCACGCGCTCTCGAAATTCGACCCAAACAGCAGCCTCGCAACACCCGAAGCCCTCGAAACCCGCCGAAAAGGGGTGCACCTAACCTGGTCCTCCATTTCAGCTTCCGTCTCAGACAAAATCGCACACGCCGAAGCGACAATAACAGGCCCCGACGGAACCCAGCTGCCAGTCTCAATCCTCCGCTCCACAAACCCGTCGCACCAGTCTACCCCTGCATCCGAAAAGGCATGTATCCTGCACTTCCACGGCGGCGGCTTCTGCACAGCGAATCGGTTCCACGGACTAAACGTCCTCTTCGACCTTGTAACCGAATTGAACGTCATCGTCGTGAGCCCGGAATACAGACTCAGCCCCGAACACGCGCAGCCTGCACAGGTGGAGGATTGCTACGTTGCGCTGCTTTGGACGGCAAACCATGCCTCGGATCCGATTCTCGGGTTTAATGTCGAGAAGCTAATTCTCTGCGGCGGGTCTGCGGGCGGGAATCTGGCGGCGGGGGTAAGTCTCCTCGCGCGCGACCGGTCCGGACCGAAGATTTTGGCGCAAATGCTCTTCTACCCCTGGCTCGAGGATAGCGGAACTAGTCTATCCATCTCGCAATTCGGCGACGTACAGCCCTGGAGAACGCAGGATAATATCACTGCGCTCGACTGGGCTCTCGGCAAGAATCGAGAGAATAAGAGTATCTACACAGTCCCCGGATCTGCTACCGTGGAAGACCTAAAGGGATTACCGACGACGTATGTGGATGTCGGCGAGGCGGATGTGTTTCGTGTTGAGGATGTGGAGTTTGTGAGCCGATTATGGGCGGCGGGTATTAGTTGCGAGTTTCATGTTTGGCCGGGGGCGTGGCATGCTTTTGATACGTTTGCGCCGGGGGTCGAGGTTAGTCAGAGGGCAGTGAGGACGAGGGGGGAGTGGGTGCATAGGTTGATTCGGTAGATTAGACTGGGGTCTTGATGCAGGGGATGGCTTGGTTCCTTTAGATAGACGCATTGAGCATAGATAGATCGAACGGTGAAACAAATGCAGGAATGTATTGAATCTAGCCAATAATGCAATCTAGTACTCCTCGTAATAGTCGCCTGCATCATACCCGCCCTCATCATAGCCTCCTCCGTAGTCATACTCAGTCTCCTCATACCCGCCGGAATAGTCATAGTTGGCCTGTTCCTCATAGTACACGGGCTCTGGCTCGTGGTATTCCTGCTGGTATTCTTGTTGGTAGATAGGTTCCGGCTCGTAGTACTCTTGCTGATAGACTGGTTCCGCCTGGTACTCTTGTTGGTAGTCCTGCTGGTACACGGGCTCCGGCTCTTGGTACTGCTCTTGGTAGACGGGTTCCGGCTCGTAGTACTCCTGTTGGTATTCTTGCTGGATATATTCCTGTTGGGGATACTCCTGCTGATATTCCTGGGAGTAGTCGGCCTGGTACTGCTGATACTGGCCTCGGTCTTCGTCCTCATCCTCGTCATCGTCCTCGTCATCATCTTCATCAGCGCCGCCACCGTAGTCTTGGTACTGAGACTGATCGTAGTATTGAGTTTGATATGCATTCGCTGGCTCCTCGTCTTCGTCGTCATCGTCATCGTCGTCATCATCATCATCCTCATCATCATCGCTGTCTTGTTGGTACTGGTTCTGATAGTGGGACTCATCCTCATCCACGTCGTCGTCATTCTCATCGTCATCACTGTCATCTTCGTTCCCCTCGTCCTCGTCGTTCCCTTGCCAGTATCCAGCAGGAGACTGAGGTACCCCGTCTTCATCTTCGCCTTCATCCTCGTCGGTAGCTTCATCGCCATTCTCACTGTCATAGTCCTCACCATCCTCATCTTCATCGCCTCCCTGCCAGTACCCTTGTGGATACTGGGTCGCGTTGACCTCATCCTCGTTATCCTCGCCATCCTCACTATCGTCGCTGTCCTCATTGCCATCATTACTGTCATCATCATCATCATTCTCCTCGCCATCGTCTCCCTGCCAATACCCTTGAGGATACTGGTTGGTATTTGTCTCACCAGCCTCATCGTCATCATCATCTCCCTCCCAATATCCAGCCGGATGCTGATTGGTATCGTTCTCATCGTCATCATCATCGTCTCCTTCCCAATGTCCACTTAGGTGCTGAGTGCCTGGAGATGCGACTTCATCGTCGTCACCATGCCAATAGCCCGGTTGAGACGGAGGTTCATCGCCCGCAACCTCACTATCTCCATCATTGTGCTCTTGGTCCGAGTCCTGACCCTGATAGGGGTAACCCGTGTGAGATCCCATCTCTCCATGGTGCTCATCGCTATCATCTCCGGCGTCACTATCCTCGACCCCATGCTCGACGTGCTCATCGCTCTCATGCTGGTCATCACTCGCATGCTGCTCGTCAATGTCTTCCATGTCTCGCTGAAGATGTTGCTCATAGTCCGAATCATACTGGGTGTCGTCAAAACCGGCTGTATCATACTGATGGCCGAAATCCTGGTCGCCGTGTTCCTCAATACCCTGCCCAGGTTCGCTGTGCTCGTAATCGGTATCTGGGTGCGCACTGTAGGTGGAATCAGAAACGCTCTGGTCGTCTGAGTCGGGTACGTCATGGTCCTCTTCATGTTCATGTTCATCGGATACGCTTGGATCGGATACATTCGTGGAATCAACAGGATGCTCAGCGTCAGCATGAGCAAAGTATGGCTCGTCCAAGTACTGATTGCCGGCGTTGTCGTGATCGGCATACTGGTCATGGACCTGGGCGTCAAATGTCAGGTCACGACTCAGGTCATCATGCTCACTTTCGCCGTCACCTGTATGAGCGTCATCGGTATCTAGCCCGCTACTATCCACAACGCTGGAATTGTCATGATGAGAATCGTGTTCTTCTTCGTCGGGAGGGGAATAAGTGAATTGAACTGCTGCCGGAGCCATCTGCGGGTCCTGGAAAGGGTCATGACTATCGTGCTCGATGTCAAATGCGCGAGCGCTTTCTTGCTGATGGTCGATATTCACAATACTCTGAATGTCGGAGTGCCCATCATCGCTGTCAAGGTCACTGCTATCCGCGACGCTATTTTCCGAATGGTCGTGATGGTCACTGTCCTCGTTGTCGTCGAATTGGTTCGGAGCGGGTGTTACCCCCACAAATGGAACTCCTGGTGTTTCTGCACTGCTTGGCTCTGCACCCTGAGAGGGAACGTGCTGGGCTTCCGCATGGATGGATCTCTCTCGGTCATCCTCTGAACCCGCATCAATGCTTTCAAGGTCACTAGAATCAACTGTGCTAGCGTACGCATCGCTATCATCGAGGTCAGATACTGAAGCCGTCTCCACCTGAGGCCCCGGTGCACCCGAGAGGTCACGGGGAAAAGCGTTAGCAGACGCGTCGGTCTGATCACTAGTCGGATCAGCATTGGAGTCATCATGATCATCTAAAGCATGCATAATCCCAGCCGTAGCAAGACCTGCCACGGCAGCACCGGCCACGACCGCTGCGGCAACCTTCAACCCTGTCCCGGAGGAGCTCTTCTTCTGCTCTTGGTTTGGTGTGTACGGGGTGTAGGGGGCAGGCTGTGGCGACTGCGCTTGGTAAGGTTGGGCTTGAGACGTGTAGGGTTGGTAAGCTTGGAACGGTGGTTGAGTTGGTTGAGGATTGGTTGCCGGGAATGGGTTCGGCTTCTCGAAGGAGTCATAGTATGTGGCTGCCTCACCCGGTGGAGAAGTTGTTGTGCTAACAGCCGGGTTTAGAGGGCTGGACGTAGTCTGAGCCCCCAATGAAATGTCGCGAGCTTGATATGGTATTGTTGATGAAGATTGAGGTGTGTTGATACCGTGCGACGCAAGGCTCGGACTGGACTGGAAAAAGGCTGTATACTGGTGTCCAGCAGCGGGATCCCCGCGGGTTGCATCAGCCTGTGACGGACCCATCCCTAGTGACTTGTTTTGTAGTCCCAGACCATCGCCGAGACCAGCATGGGTGTCCACTGTCTGTGCCTTGAGAGATTGCCCGGCGGCTTGTTCCCCAGGATAATAGATCCCTAGAAAGTTGCGCGGCCCTTCGTCACCGACTATATCTGCTTTCTGCGCCGGGTCATCACTGGGATCATGACCAATATCCCCTGCGCCGCCTGTACGCTGGCCGGTTGGCGCGTTAGCTTCTTTCTTATCTTGCTGCTGAGGACTATGGCTGGTTCCTGAAGATTGTAGTATGTCCCTATTCTGGAAGCCTGTGAAGATAGCCGTGTGCGTTTGTAGCACCGGTGGCGACTGAGAGCTGTCACCGGGAGTTCCAGGCTCGTGCTTATTGCCCTCGTCAGGCGCGACACCACACTGGGGTTGATACGGAGCCTGATGCTGCTTGGTCGATGCGCCGGCCGCCGAAGGCTCGGCTTGGGGACTAGAGTAAGCGGCGTAACCACTCTGTGGTGCAGTGAATCCGAGGTGAGAGCTACTGCCTAAGCCTGGGCTCGCAGGGGGGTTGCTCTCCCTGAAATCAGGGAAAACCGAGGTGTGCATTGGTCGTACTGGTGGCGCCACCGTGTTGCTCTGGCTTTCAGGTTCTGAATGCGTCTGACCTGCGTTTGCTTGTACACTTGGTGGTTGGAAGGCTACATAAGGCCGCCCCTGCCCGCTTCGGACCGTCTCGTGTTGGAATCCAGGGCGAGGGCTGCCATCAGACTCAGACGTCGTCGGTGGATGCGCACTTGCAAAGTTTGGGAAGACCGGGGTGTGTGTTGGCAGTACTGGTGGCGGTTGCACATTATCTTCGCCCTGAGACCCATGTTGTTGATATGCCGTGTCAGGCGAAGCTGTCTGCGGCTGAGTGAAAACGAGATGAGGGCTATCCTGACTAGAATTAGGCTCAGAGCTTTTCGGTGGAGGAATGGTGGCGACGTCCGGGAAGACCGCGCTATGTATTGGCAATACAGGCGGTGGCCGAGTGGTATTCTGGCCCTGCGGCCCAGGTTGTTCATATCCCGAAGTACTTTGTCCAGCTGTCTGGTGCGATCCGAGGAAAGACTGCTCTGGTCCTGCAGGAGTCCCCGTCTGAGATTCCGTGAAGCCAAAATGATAGCTGCCCTCGGACACAGAGGTAGACAGTGGACGGGCATCTTTGATGTCGGGGAACACTGCAGTATGCGTTGGCCGTAGTGGTGGAGGAACAACACTGTGGGGATCTTCGAGATGTTGGTTGTCTGAATTAGGGAAACCAGGCGTCTCTTGAGCGCTGGGTGCATCATGAACCGTCTGCGGTTGCACAAATCCATATTGTTGTCCGTGTCCTGATGCCGGTTGGGATAGAGCTTCTGAAGAAGTGGATGGATTGGCTTTATAAACAGTCTGCGGCTGGACAAATTCGAAATGTGGAGTGGTATCGGAAGGTGGGATTTGCCCTGCATTTTCCGGGAGGGGTGTGTCTCCAGATCCTGGATACGCATTATAAACTGTCTGCGGATGGACAACCCCGAGATTCGGCGTGTTATCTGTCAAAGACCGAGATGTCTCGGGCTCTGTGGCCATTGCCTGCTCTGTTGAGACCGGTTGGTAAGGCGCGTACATATTGTATAACGATTGTGACTGAGGCTGGATAAAGGTGAAATGAGGTGCAGAGTCCGTGTGCAGACTTCTATCTCCCTCTACTGGTGCGGTGCTCTCTTGTCCTGCTGTAACCGAAACCGGTACTTGATTGACATACTGAGACCCGGGGCCGCCTGAGCTAGTATTGATGGACGTTGGGTCCACGCCTGTGTACGTGTCAGTACCAGGTACAGATGGGCCGACAGGTTTGTTGTCATTCGAAGGTGATCTCTCCGCGGCTGTGGGTTGACTGCCTTGTTCTGAAGGGCTAGTCTCCGTTCCTAAGACATTGTTCCCATCTTGAGGTTTCTGTTCAGCCCCCGTGGTGTTGCTACCAGGCTTTTCTGGCTTATTCTCACCCTCCGATTCCGTCTCCGTTGCCTGTATTCCGGGGCCGCTCTCCGTTCCAGTTAGCTTACCTTCATCCTCCGGTTTCGTCTCTGCGATGGGTGATCCTGGTGGCTTAGTCTCCTCCGGCTTAGTTTCTGCTGTTGGTTTCGTCTCTTCGGTTCCCGATGCGGGTGGTTTACTTCCTTCAGGCTTTGTATCTGTTGGCTTCGTTTCCTCAGGTTGTGTCTCTGGGGGCTTGGTCTCTTCGGGCTTCGTCTCCGGAGGATGGTGCGCGGGATCTACAAGTACGTTTGCACCAGGTGGATGATGCTGACCCGCATGAAGCCAGTCGAACCAGCCGTGGCCGTGGCCTGGACCGTGACCATGATCCGGTCCATGGTGGGAACCGTGATGAGGACCGTGGTGCCCTCCGTGGTGAGGCCCATGGTGGGGCCCATGAGCGGGTCCAAGATGCGGTCCATGATGCCCTGAGGGCTTATCTCCAGGACCCGGTTTCGGGGGCCCGGCGTGTGGTGGTGTCGCGCCACTTGGACGTGACCCCGGGGGCTTCCCAGATGGGCCTTGTGGACCGCGATATGGCTGATATCCGCCTCCCAGTGTTGGTTTCGGGCCAGGAGGTTTCGGAGGGCCGCCCGGCTTCATGCCTGCAGGAGGACCCGTGGGTGGTGGTTTTGCACCAGGAGGCCTCCCGCCAGGACCAGGGCGCGGAGGTGGTGGCTTCCCAAGTGGTGGCCGTCCTTGCGCCGGGTTGGACGGTTGTGGCTTTGGCGGTCCAGGCTGATTGGCTCCAAAGAGACTACGGAGGAATCCTGGTTTAGCCAAAGGCGCCGGGCCAGGCTGGAGTCCCTTTGGGAGGGAGTGTGGTGGAGGACCGGAGATGGAGTGGCGATTTGGCGGAACTGCGGATTTGGGAGGACCTGCGTTAAGTGCAGGAGGGCGGGGGAATGGAGCTCCGGAAATTATGGAGGGCGGCTGTTGTTTTCTTGTGAGTAGCGGTGGTGGTCCGCCTCTTCCGCCAGGCAGAAGATTACTCGGTGGTCCGGAGACCGAATATGGTCGATATGGTGGTTTTGCGGATGGGCCGGGACCTGGTGCTCCTTCCGAGCCTGGTGCAAGACCTGCTACGAGACCTGGTGGTTTGGGAGGTGTAGCCACTGGAGGACCAGACATGGTGAATGGGCGATACGGCACAGTCCCGGTTGGACGACCTGGCGGGCCTGATGGTGGTTGGCTTGAGTGGCCCGACAATGCCGGGCGGCTCGGTGGATGGCCGCCTGTTATAGCAGCTGTAGGCTGCACACCCGGACGTACGCTTGGGGGATCCGACAGCGTGAATGGGCGCGGTGGAGCATTTCCGCTAGGACGATGTGGAGGGCCAGAGGGCGGATGGGTCGCTGCAGTGGTCATCGGTGGGCGTGCAAGAGGTCCTCCGCTTGGTGCCGGCGCCGAGTGCTTGCCTCTAAACCACCCACCGGGAGGTCCGGACATCGAGGATGGACGTGATGGTGGCTTAGCAGATCCGGAATGCGGCATCGGGGCAGTAGGGCCCGGAGGAGGCCTTGACGGCTGCGCCGGCGGCATATGTGCACTGCTCGTCTGCGCAAAATCGGAATGCATGGGAACGGACTTTGCTATACTTGGAGCAAACCGCGCTGGCTTAGCATGGACGCGCAATGATGCAGGAAATAACGATGGCGGCGTTTTGCTTTGCGTCTGGGTAGGCGATGGTCGCTGAGGCTGAGCATAAGCAGATGAGGGGACTCCCTTGCTAGCAGTAGGTCCCGATGACAGAATGCTTGGCAACGCAGCTATGGAATGCCTATGCCCTGAATGAGTGGGTACACCGGCGCTTGTGCTATGTCCTTGAGCCATAACAGATGACGTCGTGAGAACATCTGATGTAGAATGGGAATGTTGTACAAGTCCTGGGCGAAATGGTATAGGTCCCTTGGGCGGCATATGCGATGTTGCCTGTGTCTCCGTAAATGGTTTAAAGGCCGTATATCCCTGGGATCCTCCAGTAGCCGGACCATGTTTAGCTGAGCTCGGCGGAGTAGGTCCATGGATGGATGACCTTTGTGGTGGAATCGGCGAAGGTTTAGATGGAAGGTGGCCATGCTCTGGGCTTCCTCGGCCAGTTTTGGGTTCGACCTGGGTATGAATCGATTGGCTTGTCGCATGAACCGAAATATTTTGGATGAAGCTGTTGAAACTTCCTGAGACGTGCGCTTGAGGTGCTGTTGCCGGAGAATGTAATGGGGGCTTCTGTGCGGTAGGGAGAGAGGCCTGTGGGGGTAGCTCGCGCGCCCCTGAATGGGCCTGCTTCGTAATCAGTGGTGTGGCCTGAGATGTGCCATGGGGTGCAGTTGGAGCACTGATAGGCCCATTTGGACTCGACATCTTCAGCGGTACTTGTGGTTTATCGGGTTGACCTGTCGGGGCGGAGAATGCTGAGTGTACGTTCTGTGGCGGAGGCATTCCCTGGAAGAGTGGTTGGCGAGTCCCCGATGGTGGGTGTGGTACCGCGGGGCCAGTGCTTGGCCCGTGGACTACGTTAGATGAACCGGTTGTAACCTTCTGCTCGACATGAATCTTGGTTGAGGTGTGCGACGGAGCGCCCTTCTCGACCGTCCCCGACGAATGTGGCGGACTAGTTGTCAGCGGTACAGGCTTCGGTTTCACCTGCTGAGGTGCCTTGGCAACCGCAGGCCCAGTATGCGCAGGACCATGCCCTACGTTAGATGTGCGATTCGGAGTATTCTGAACGCGCGGGCCTCCGAGGGGTTGCGGTTGTTGTACATTCTCCCCTGCTGCGAGGGATGATAGAGGCGGCTGCTGCGGTGGCGACGCCAGGGGAGGTTTCGATTGTGTGGGTAGTTCACGAGACCCTGTGGACGCCTGTTGAGGAACACCAGGTCCCATAGAAGCCGGTCCACCAGTGGTAGTAGAGTCATGGGTGGGGATACTTTGGATAACACCCGAAGTCGTCTTCTGACTCGGGCCTTGAGCTGGTGGAGGTGGCCCAGCGGCAGGTCCAAGTTTTTGCGGGAGCGTTGCGTCCAGCTCATGCCGTGTCGTGCTTGGTGGTGCAACGGCAACCTGTGAATGTTTTCCCTTGGTCGAGCCTTCTCGACTACCAGACAGTGCCTGAGGAGTAATACCAACCGACTGCTTTGAGTGTCCAGGTCCCTTTAGCCCGCCCTGATCCAGTTCCTGGCGCTTCGCCGGTGGTACCGAATCCGACAATTCGTTCGGACGTTTTGGTTCCTGCATATGCGGGTTTGATTGATCAGGTAAGCTCGTAGGCAGCTCCTGACTCGCAATGTTTCCCTTGCCCGATATCGCGGACGTGGATAGTTGTCTCGCCGACGGCCCTACCAGAACGCTGGTTTGAGGATGTCGTCGCGTAATCGACTTGTTGCGGTCCGGCGGTTGAGGAAGTGAACCTGCAGACGGTGCAGACTGTGGTAGCTCGGCTGGTGATGGCGCCATCTTGGGTATTGACTGGGCAGGGTCTGACCCGTCCCGAGCGACGACAGGGGCAGAGTGCTGCCGGCGAGCCTGCAGTTTTGGCGGCTTGACAGCAAACGCAGGAGCGACGTGCGTATTCGCGCCTACCTCTGAGAAGCCCTTGACTGGCTTCTTTGTCCCCGGGGGTATTGGAGGTTGGATGGTCACGGATATACTGACTATTGAGTAATTTAGAAGAAGAAATGCGGCATCAGTCAGCTGGCTTACCCTGCGAGGGGCCCTTGGTAACCTTTGTCGCTGGCTTCTCCGCCGAAGCTGACCTCAGAACCTTCTTAATCGCCAACATGATCGCTTGATAGTTCTCATCTTCCCTTCTTGAGTACTTGGCGATACTGATGTGGTTGCACCCAGGCATTGCGCGCAGCTTTTCGAGCTTCAAGTCCAGGGACGCGTTCGTTTCGTTCACGGACTATGTACCGCCTTGTATTAGCATAAACCCTTAATTAAAAGACCAAGCACCAAACAAGGAAAACGAACACATTTCTCAAGCGGAGGTGTTGGGACTTCTTCGTAGCATGAGAAAATCTTGATCTTCAGGCGCGCGACATTCTTCTTGAACTCGGTCGTAACTTCTTGCAGAAACGCCTTGTTCTCTCGAAGCAACTCCAGAATCTCGTCGACTGGCTGGCTGAAGAATGGTGCGCGCCAGTCCATACAGTCCGCCATGCAATTTCCCAACAGCGAGTTCCACTCAATTTCATCGGGCGCGCGTTGCGGTGTGCTGAGAAAGATAACTTTCTTGATACAAGGTGTTAACGCGGCGAGGTCTGTCTGGCTTTCGGTGAGGTAATTGATGGCCTATGAACCTGATCAGCTTGTGTCGAGATCCGAACCCAAACCCAAATCGACCTACTTTCTCTACCACAAACCCTCCGAATCCATGCGCAAGAAAGACGAGCGGCCGCGGTTTGGGGTCATCTTCGCGAGCGACCCAAAGTCTCGCGAGTAGGAATTGCGCCAGTGAATCAGCCGCATAATTTGAGCCAACGAGGAGTTCTTTCGGGTCGTATGCGAGTCCAAACACTCTTACATGTCGGATATCCTTCGGAAGAAGGTCGCATAGCCACATGCTACCATCTTCATTCTCCCAATGCGCGGCATGTGGCTGACCGTTCAGTCCGTGAACAGCGACGACGTCAATTGCCTTTTCTTCATTGTGTTTCGCTGGGTTGGCGGGGTTCGTCAACTCCCAGAATGTTGTCTCCAGCTTCGCCTTCACGGGGTCAATAGTGGCGGACATGATGTAATCGCCAACTTGGCTCTGGGGAGGGGTGCGCAAAAGCAGGGTCGTCGCAATGTCGTCGTCCAGCGACAGGCAGGCTCGAGACCATTGCCCGACAATCAAGCCCGGAAGGCGCGCCGGGCATCAAATATTATTCCTGATGGTCGCCGATGCGGGCGCAGCACCAAATTCGGCGCGAGTCATGCTCCCGCGCAGCCTTTGGCACAAGTTAAGCTCCTTGGCCATCTCCACAAAATCGGGGGCCAGATGAGGCCATTTGCCCGCGTCCCGTCTGGACTCTGATCGCTGGAATCCTGCTGCGGCGCTGCTGATTCCTGCAGCTGTTTGCGGTCCAAGAATCCCTGCTGCGGCGCGTGCAGGTGGGGGGCCTCTTCTCGAAATACGCCAGCGCATAGGGGCGCTCTTCAGCTCCTTTCCAGATGTCGTATAGTGCGTGATTCTTATTGGCTGTGTAACATGGCTGCCCATGCGCTCTGCTTGGTGTGGTTTCTTTGGGGATGGCGGAGCCTGTCGCGCAAACCCTTGGGCCGCGACTCCAACAATAATCTGAAGAATTCTGCAAGGATCACTGCCTGATACTCGGCGTGAACAGACCGCATAAGAGCGCCGCCTGCGGGAGAAAAACACGACACATGCGCCTCCGTGTGTTCTGAGGAAATGAATTCATGAGATGCTTAATTGAGTTGCCGATGGAATTTGATGATCTCGAAGGGCTGTCGGGTACCCATGGGAAGGACTGCGCCGACGCTGGATGTGTCTGGCGGCTATCTCGCGTCAAATCGTAGGCGTCGAACATAGATATCCGAGCTCGTACTTCCCATTCGTAACTGGGGGATTAGTAGTAAAGAACGATGAGATCGAAATTCGAAGCACGGAAACAAGAATATCCATGAAGTACCTGCCTTGAGTGTGCATCAGACAAAATGTTGAGGTATGCATCGCACCTTCGATGCCCGCGACAGTCCATACATTATCACCTCGAGCTGCAACATGAATTTGAATCGACAAATGAAGGGCGTCAACCCGCGTAATATTCACACTCATGCCATCGCGCCTTGATGAGGTCTAATTAAAACAAGAGAGAAACATAGAAATACATAGTTGAAGTAGTAGAACCCACGTAACCATGAACCCCAGAAATAGGCGCCAAAAACCTGATGCTATCTAGTAACCATAACCTTTGGAAAATTGCAACACCAGCTCAGTCACTCTATCAATATAACACATTGCCGACTCTAGAACTTGCGTCTCGGATGTCTAGGTTTTGCGGCACTGTCGTTGGAGAAGATGAACCCAGGGACACCCTTGAGGCCCATCTTGTCGACAATTTTCATCGAAATCTCCGGCTGCTCCGGGCAATTAAACCCCTTGATGGCCATTTCGTTAGCCAGTTGCACAAGGCCGGCCTTGTCGAGCTGGAGCTTCTTGAGGCGGCCTGAACCGGCAAAGAACCCGATGTACGAGCTGTACGCTCTTGCCTTGACCGCCGGGTCAACGCGATCCATAGCTTCGTCGACCTCGCTAGCGAGTTCCGGAACAGTTGCCTGGATTGTGTCAAGTTCAGGGTGCGGCTTGATCGGTAGCTGCGGGTTGACGCGTAGGAAGTACGACTCGGCCTGCGTCAACATGATAATGGCGCGCCCATCCTTGCCAGCGCGCGCGGTACGTCCGACGCGGTGCACGTATTGTTCTCCGTCCTCGGGGAGACCGACCTGGACGACGAGGTCGACGTTAGGAAAGTCCATTCCGCGGCCGACGACGTCGGAGGCGAAGAGAATTCCTGAAGTCGCTTCCTTGAACTGCGCGGTGACTCTAGTGCGCGCAGCCTGGGTGAGACGGGAGTGAATCTGGAAGACCGGGAGGTCGACAAGCCCCTGGGAGAAGGCGGCTGCGAAAAGGGCGACCATGTTCGCAGTGACGCCGAAGACGATGATTTTGTTGTTGCTCTTGGCTTCATGGCGGAGGAGGGAAGTCAGGGAGGTAAATGTGTCTCCAATGTAGGGGATAACCACATGGTACTGCGGAACACGCTCGTGTGTTGGGGTTTCGTTTTCGTTGACGGTTGAGATGCTTGTGTATCCTGGAGCTAGGACTGTGCTGACCACATCTTTTACCTTTGCGGGTACAGTAGCGGAGAAGCACATTCCCTGCCAGCCGGTCGACTTCGGGGGAATATAACGGAGAATCTCCTTGACCCTTTCGAGGAAACCGATTTCGAGCATCGTGTCGGCTTCGTCAAGGATAACGGTCTGGATATTCGACATCTTCTCCTTCGCTTCAGGATCGTTCAGGTAATCCACCAACCGACCGGGGGTGGCCACGAGGATCGCAGGCGAGCGATCCATGAAGCGCTTAAAGGCCGACGCGCGGGACGTTCCACCGACAGCAACCTGACATTCGATTCCTCTCGCCAGTTGTGACGTAAGCTGATCACAGGTCTTGGCAATCTGCTGGGCAAGCTCACGGGTAGGCGTGATGATCAATGTGGAAACCTGGCCTTTGGGCACTGCTGTCTCTCCCGTAATGAGAGATTGCAAAACGGGTAGTAAGAACGCAATCGTCTTTCCCTCACCGGTCTTGGCGCGGACAAGACAGTCGCTGCGCAAGCTGGGCAGCTCAGTCATGACGCGGTGCTGGACAGTGCTCATGGTTTCGATGCCCATGGCACTGATGGCGCTGAGCACGTTGGAATCTATCTTCCCAGCCAATGATGAAAAAGGGACTCTGGGAGTATCGGCTTCTAGGCTTGAGGCCTGAACGGGAGAAGGAGCAGCTCGCTCGACCGGCTTGGCTTGCTGCTCGGGGCCGTCAGGCTTCGCTGCCTTAGACGATAAGTTGGCGGAGTTCTTTCCGCCATTCTTAAACTTGCGGCGCTTGTTCGGAGGCGGCATTATGGAAAGCAAAGATGTGAATGATCGGGTCTGGAAACTTGTGTTCTGACGGATTGCGAGTGGGACTCTGGTGGTGACCCAAGATGTGTTGCTGGCCACGCGTGAGAGGAGTCGCAAGGACATCTAGAAACACAGGAAATTCGCAGCTAGAGATACCACTGGCCAACAAAGAAAGAGAAAAAAGCTCAGTATGGCTGTTTTTCAATTTCTTTGGATTGGATGAGTGAGATAAAGCGTGCTGCAGCTGAAAGAGACAGACGGGAGGTCAAAGAAAATTCCAGTGCCAAGCTTCCCCGTAAACACGCCTAGCCATATTAGGCTAGCATTACTGTGTACATCACGTGGGCTGAAGCCTGGGCCGCCAGGGGGAAGTTCCACAACTGCTGCCTTAGGCAAGAGTGCTCTTGGAGCCTTCCTGCCTGAATCTTCCACCGCATCTTGCCAGCATCTTCGGCTTCTCATCCACAAAGACAGCTGGAGTTGTTGCTCACCTCTCCCTCTTCCCCAACCAAGTCACTCAGAATATACCAGAAACTTTGAAGCCACCATACTCGTTGATGTCTGTTGATTGGAGAACAAGCTTTCATCTTGTTCACTCTTATGGAAAGCAAAATATATATTCTCGCACCTTTCCTCTGCCAGGGATTGCCAGTACATCGCGTAACAACCCTTCGGGAGCCGTTGCAATGGTCGCAGCCTAAGTAGGTCTATCTATCTCAAATTTGTTCTCTACTTATCTAAGCCATGTAGCGCGACGAGTGAAGTCATTCGCTAACACCGGATCTACATACAACAACATTCCCTCCGCACTTTCCATCACTAACCCCACTACTCGACGCGATCTCTCGGCGTGATGCGTAGTGGGCAGCTGGTAATTCCCATCTCTGGCATACCGGCATACTCTAGCGGCCTGTTGACCTCGAAGTCGGCAGACTGGCGAAGAATCACCGCAAGGCCGATCTGAAGCGCCCTGTTGTTGTGTTAGATCTATCGTCCGCGAACGATCTAATGGAAAGAGGCATACATTCTCGCCAATGGCATCCCTGCACACCGATGTCGCCCACGCCCGAACCCTAGATGCGACGTGATGTTGGGGCGGTTTAACACAAAGTCATCTGGATTCTCGAACACTTCGGGATCTCTGTTTGCGGCAGCATATGTCATAGCAACCGGTGTTTTCGCTGGGATCAAACGCCCGCGGAGCTCGATGTCTCGCGAGGGCGTCCGGCAGAACCCGCGATATGGCACATACAGCCGCACAAACTCTTCCACGGCGGCGGGAATAAGCGATGGATCGGAGCGAAGACGCCTCTGCAATTGCTTGTCATCGGACAGGTGTTTGCACATGACTCCGAAGAGCAGTGGAGGCGCGACCATGCCAACGACGAGGGATTGGCGGAGACAGCCGCTGTTTCGGTCAGTATTCCGGTATAGCATGAGGTATGATAGAAGACTTACATCAACAACTCGTCTTTCAGCGGCTGCCCATTTGAGTCTGTCTCTTGCAGCAATGACGAAGCCGGATCCTGCTCTGGATCCCTCGGCGCAATCCGCCGGTCAGCAAACAGCTTCCGGGCGATACCATATAGCTTTTCTGACTGTGCTGTAGTCTCCTTTCCGTCTTGCCTCCGCCACGCATTCACCCAAGCCGCAGCGGTGGTAGCAAGCATCGGCGCCGTGTCTTCTTCCAAGTTCAGCCAGGTCGTCTCGACCCAGGCTGCAAATATTGCTGCAAAATCACCACAAATATCGCCACCTCCCTTAGCCACAAGCTTTGCAAACTCACGCTCAGCATGTTCAACAAGAAGTGGCTCAATTCTCCTGAGTCTCTTTGGACGCAGTGTGCGATCCAACGCTGTCCGATACGGGGTATGCGCAGGTGGATCAGTGTTGAGGGGTGGCCGCCGAATTCCTCTAGGATCACTTGGGATAACAGCTTTCACTGAAGAGATGAAGGTCTCTGTATCTGACGCGGCAGCTTTCACATCCTCATATCGCGTCAAGAGATAGAACCCACCCATCTCGGACGTGTGTGCGACCGGACATCTTGAGCGGAGGTCTGCAAACTGATTGTAGATTTTTGACGGGTTGTTGTCTTCGATCAGCTTGAAGTCATCCACCTCATTGGGAGACTCAAGCTGTGTCTGCGTTGCTGTCGAAGACATTTCCGCCGAATACCATGCAACTTGGGGGCGTGTTGGACGGAGGATATGATCGGCAATTGCCACCGGTATGAGTGCTCGAGTCATTGACAGCCTTGGTGATTTATAAGACGCTTGGCCCTGCAATATGCAGACAGCGAGGGATGGGGACACATCATGGGGACGTGCTAGTGTGGGGACACAACAGACGAAATGGGGACACACCTTCACCCCGGATTATGGTACGTATGGATAAGTTACAGCTCACACCGCTCGATATAGGCACTGACTACTTCCTCCATCTCCACAGCGACTCCCCACTGAAGCGATAACCCCCGAAGAAGCGTCCGCATGGCAGTTAAATCATACGACAAGTCCCGAACCACGTACTTATCCCTCGGCATCCCCGTCGCGTCAAATGTCCCAGCGATGAAATCTAGTGTGTGTTGCATGCTGGCCTCGTCATCTACCGGTGTCGGGTCTGCACTCATCTGCAAGGCCATCAACGCCGTGTCCCAATCTATGGAAGCCGGGAACACAATTTTGGATACTCCTGCTAGCGTGAAGGACGTGTATGTCGTCGCGGCTGCAAAGACCGCACCTGGGATATTCACGTCGTATGCTAAGCCGAGGGGTAACTGCGCTGCGATTGCCTGCATGTTGATTGCATGAAGGAGGGTAGCTCGGCCCGCGGCACTTTGTGCCCATCGATTGGGGTTGATTCGGCTCTCTTGACGTTCGCTTCCCCCGAATATGTTCTGCTTAATCCCGAAAAGGTGACACATCCTTCTTGTGCCACGGGCTGTACTGACGACCGAATCCAGGCATATTGAGTGCCATTGCAACAGCGCGGTTAGCCGGTCTGTCGGGGTGAGAGCTTGGCTATCAAGGATATTGCGCCGCAACTGTCGAAGCACGAGCAGGAGATCTTTTTTAGACGGCAATCCAACCGGCGGCGGTTTAGTCCGATTCGTCTCAGATACCAAGCACCTCACACCCTCCAGGACAACTTTGTGATGAAACAGCGCAATATCATACTCAGCTAGACTAACATCCCCGCCTTGCCTGAACAGAGTGTGATAGATATCACAAAACCGGACCTGCAGTACCGGATGCGCCTGCATTTGCTGGATCCACTCGTCAGACGTTGACGCCATGAATGCTGCGTCACCGCTGGGAAGGGGAAGTGGATTCGCCGCATGTCGCGCGAATGTCGGATTTCCGCTGAACTGTGACACGACGCCGTCTACGATGTAAAGGCCAAGCAGCGTCCGCAACATGGTTTCCTGGGCGATCCAGCGGCGCCACGCCGACTGTATTACCGCGGGAGAGTCTGTCGGACTCGGTAGCGGGACGGCTTCGCATGCATCGTACATGCCGCAGTGGCTAGCCCAGTGGATGCCAAGGCCGTGAAAGACCTGACTCGTCGTTCGGAACGTGCGGTTCTATCAAGTTAGTCCTAGAACTATACGGAATGCAGCGACGTACCTGCGATAAAGCGGCATAGATCTGGCTGAGCAGGACTGTCTGTACCAACTCTACGCCTGTGCAGGAGTCAGATGGCCGTCTCCGCGTGATCATCGTATTCCACGAAGTTGCGACTGCTGTATGCGCAAGTCGCCATAAGACATCAGCCTGCTAATGTGAGCCCTCTGTGTGTACGAGATGGGACGTGACTACCTTTTCAATGGCATCCTGACTGCCAAGAAATCGAGCGCCGAGAGCGATGGCGTTGAGCAAAAGCGGAGGCGCACAATCACGAAAGACAAAGGTCGGACGGTGGAATACGGGGAACATGGGGATGATGTTTTCGAAAAACATGTGGAGACTGCCGTCGAGGAAGCGAGACGTCAAGCCAGTGAGGCTTGCTGGCGCTGTGACTCGTGAGAACTGCGAGGGTTAGACAGATAGATACGGGGCTGTGATTTCCGCACCGTATCGCTGATTAGGCTACTCAGCGATTGGATGGCATGTCTCCCGTCAGCTATTGTGCTGTTTGATGGAGAGTCCTGGTAACCATTATGCATCATATCGCCCGGCATCTCAGCCATTCCCAGAGTCGACGGAGCTAATGCTAGCGGCTGCTGCCAGATACTCGGGTCGATCGCCATGATGTTCTGCAGCAACTCCTCTGAATCGGGCCATAGTAGGCCAGAGGCCAAATCTGGCGGAAGCGGCCGAACATCCTCTATCGGAGTCAGATACATCGGTAGACAATCTTCTGGAAGCTGATCGCTTGGTGCATCGCGATCCGACATTGATGGCCACTCGCTAGGCCCAGATTGGCCATGTGGTGTAATCTGCGGACCAATGTCTGTCACAGTGCCTTGAGTAGGCGTTTGCGAAGAGTGCACGCGAAGATGGCGGTTTAGCACGTCCTGTCGAGAAAAGCATCGTCCGCATATACTACAGGCGAATGGCTTATCGCCGGTGTCTAAGAGATCAGCGAAGTCCTATTGGCGGATGGGCCACCTACGAATCCTTTCGTGTCTCTGTCGGCAGTTAGCTCTGACACTTGTTCCGATGAGCGAGGCGCAATACCTGGAGATGCTCGCGCTTGGTGTAGCGCTTAGTGCAGAACTCGCATTGGAGGTTGAGCTTCTTGCGGTGCCGAGTCATGATGGAGAACCCCCGGAATGGGTGTTCCTTGGACGGGGAAAATTTGAGAAAAGGCGAGGTGTCTCCATCAATTTATGGTTCCCCACCGCTACACCCCGCATCAACAACCCCAGGCTGTGGGGAGCCAATTTATGTCCCCACCCCCAACAGACTGGATAGAGCAGAAAAATGATCACCGGTGATGGGGACAGCTGTAAAATCTCAGCCCCTGTCAATGATTTAAGGGAGATCGTCCCATCAGCTCCATGGGTCCCGCCGGACGTCCTGAAGTCAAGCGCTATCTGAGGGAAACGACAGCAGGACAACATGGACTCGATCACCACGGCTCAGGAGAAGCCGTCTTTGTCGGAGGTGGAGAATGCGAAGAAGCAGGTTGTCACGCAGGTGTCGCATTATGCGCCCATGAGCGATGAGGAGAAGGCGCTGGATCGGAGGGTCAATTTGAAGTTGGACTTTACTTTGCTTGTGATTCTTGCGATCGGATTTATCGTACAACTCCTTGACCCGCTTTGTGGGCTACGTTAATGCTTGACAGCTTCTTGGTATCGACAAGACGAATGTCGGCTTCGTCGCCACGAGTTCCTTTATCGAAGACGCAAACCTCCATCCAAACGATATTCCAAATTCTCTTTCTCTGGTGAGTTATTCATCCATCAACGGTATCCGGAAACCGAAGCTAACAAGCTAGTTTTCCGCAACTTATGTGCCTCTTCAGCCTATCTCCACCATGATCGGCCGCCGGGTCGGTCCCAAGTGGTGGATCTGCACGCTCATGACAGTCTGGGGAAGCATATGCATTGCCCACATTGCCGTCAACAGCACACCGACGTTCCTCGCGCTTCGCCTCCTGCTTGGTGTTGGCGAGTCCGGATTCACGCCCATTTGCTTCTACTACATGTCGCTCTTTTACCCCAAGTTCTCGCTGGGATTCCGCATGGGCTTGTTCTCCGGAATGTACTCGGTCGCTGGAGCTTTTGCTGGACTTCTTGCATACGGTCTGCTTCATCTTGAGTCTTCAATTCTGAAAGGGTGGCAGACGGTGTTCCTCTTTGAGGGCGCACTCACTGTTTTTGTCGCAGCGCTTGGATTGCTTGTACTCCCGACCAGTCCTGGAACAGCCTGGTTTTTGACCGCTGAAGAGCGCGCCCACGCTACGAAGCGCATGGCGCTCGACGACGCACATGCAGGCGAAGAAGCAGAGGACGACTCGAAGATTACTCTCCGAGACGTGAAGGACGTCCTAAAAGACTGGAAGAAGCTGCTGATCATCGTCTTCAACATCCTCAGCGTCCTTGTACGTTCCTCTCCCTTCTTTTTCTTTTTCTTTTCTTTTCTTTTCTTTTTCTTTTGCAATCCGCAATCTGACAAGTATTAGCCTGTCACTGCATTCACGACCTTCCTCCCCATGATTGTCGAAGGCATGGGCTACGAAGGCGTCAAGGCAACCCTCATGTCCGTTCCTCCTTTCGTCGCCGGCACAGTTGGCCTGGTCATAATCGTTTACTCCTCCGACCACCTCAAAGAACGCAGCCTGCACACCGTCTTCGGCATGGCCCTCGGCCTAATTGGCTGCGTTGTAATGGCAACCAGCGGCTCCGACAAACTCCGCTACGGCTTTGCACACGTCTGTCTCGCGGGTGTCTTCGTCGGCGGACCCCTCGTCGCCGTCTGGCTCGCAAGCAACACCCCCGGCAAAGCCGCCCGAAGCATCATCCTCGGAATCAACGGGTGGAGTAACCTGGCTGGAGTGATTGCGGGACAACTATACAAGAGCCACCATGCACCGACCTATCGGTATCCACTTATTGTCACGATGATTCTGATTGCGGTCGGGATGTGTGGGTTCTGTGCGATGAGGGGTCTGTATATGTGGGAGAATCGGAGAAGGCGCAGGATTATCCTGTCTTGGGATGAGCAGGAGTATGCAGAGGAGCAGAGTCGGACTGATAAGAAGGGCGATCAGAAGATCACGTGGGTTTATGCTTATTGATATAGCCGTACATCGATAAATGGTGAATTGAGGTGGATAGCCTACAGCGACGGATTATCCGCTGGGTGGAATTCTGGGCTGCTATACAGTCCATAGTGTTCGCCTATTGCACCCTACTCTACGCACATAGACCAATATTCATGAATAGGTTCCATTACTTTGCACGATAATGTTCAATTCCTGACGCAGAAGGTCACGAAGCAGAGAAGATGAGATCCCATAAACAACGCATATCAATACATAGGCGTATCCTACGCCTTCCTGGGATACTGCCACGTCCAATTCCGAATATACTCCGGATCCAACCCTTCATCATACGCCTGATTAACCGCATGCAACTGCATATCCCTAAACTTCTCCCGCACCCACGCAGCACTATTTCCCAACCTCTCGACACGATCAATCGCATCCATCGCAAGACTAAACCGATCCGTCTGGTTCCGCACAGCGAGCTCAAAGGGTGTATCGATGTTGCCCTTTTCCTTGTACCCGTGTACATGCATGTCCTCCTGGTTGGGACGTTTATATGTCAGACGATGCACGAGCCAGGGGTAAGAGTGGAAACTGAAGATGATGGGTTTATCGCTCGTGAAGAGGCCCTTCCACTGCGCATTCGACAGACCATGCGGGTGATGGCTCGGGGAAATGAGCTTGAACAGATCCACCACATTGACAAACCGAACCTTCATCTCGGGCAGATATTCCCGCAAAAGCGCCGTCGCCGCCAGCGCCTCGTGCGTCGGAACATCGCCGCAGGCCGCCATGACGACATCGGGCTCAACGCCCTGGTCATTACACGCCCAGTCCCAGATCCCAGCCCCCTTGGCACAGTGCGCGATTGCGTCGTCCATGTTCAGGAACTGGATGTGTTCCTGCTTATCGGCGACGACGACGTTGACGTAGTTGACGCTGCGCAGGCAGTGGTCCATCACGGAGAGGAGAGTGTTCCCGTCGGGGGGGAGGTAGATGCGCACGACGGCGGGGGATTTGTTCGCCACGACGTCGAGGAAGCCCGGGTCCTGGTGCGTGAAGCCGTTATGGTCTTGTCTCCAGACGGTCGCTGTGAGCAGGATGTTTAGGGACGCGACTTTCGCGCGCCATTCGACCTCGGCGCATTTCTCGATCCACTTGCAGTGCTGGTTTACCATGGAATCGATAATGTGGATGAAGGGCTCGTAGCTATTCAGGAGGCCGTGCCGGCCGGAGAGGAGGTACCCCTCCAGCCAGCCCTCAACCGTATGCTCCGACAGCATCTCCATGACGCGGCCCGCGGGCGCAAGGTTCCCGCCATCGGCGTCTTCGGGGAAGGACTCTGCTAGCCAGACTTTCTGGCCTGCTTCGTAGACTTTGGCAAGTTTGTTGGACTCGGTTTCGTCGGGGCCGAAGAGGCGGAATTTTGTGTCGTTGCGGGCGACGATGTCGCGGAGGAAGACGGCCATGTTGGCCATTGCGCCGCGGATCGAGACGCCAGGCTCGAGGTCCTTTAGTGCATATTTGCGGAAGTCCGGGATGTCGAGGGGTCGGCGGAGGAGTCCACCGTTTGACACGAGGTTCGCGGACATGCGGGAGTTTCCCGTTGGTGCGAGATCTTTCAGTTCTTGGATCAGTTTGCCGTCGGAGCCGAAAAGCTTGTCTGGCTGGTAGCTCTTCATCCACGACTCGAGGACCTTCAGATGCTCTGGGTTCGTGCGCACGTCCGTGATGGGGATTTGATGCGCGCGCCAGAACCCCTCGAGGTGTTTGCCGTCGATCTCACGGGGCGCCGTCCAGCCCTTTGGCGAGCGGAGGACGATCATGGGCCAGCGCGCTCGAGAAGGCGTTCCCGTGTCCCGCGCCGTCTTTTGGATCTTCTGGATCTCCAGCACGCAGTGTTCAAGCGTCGCAGCCATGGCCTGGTGCATGCTGGGGAGGTCGCTGCCCTCGACGAAATACGGGGTCCAACCATACCCGCGGAGGAGCATTTCCAGCTCCTCGTGCGCGATTCTCGCGAGGAGAGTCGGGTTGTTGATCTTGTACCCGTTTAGATGGAGGACTGGAAGCACGGCCCCGTCCGTAACGGGGTTCAGGAATTTATTGCTGTGCCAGCTTGTCGCGAGCGGGCCCGTCTCGGCCTCGCCGTCTCCGACCATGGTCAGTGTGATGAGAGTTGGATGGTCAAAGACTGTGCCGAAGGCATGGGAGATGGCATAACCCAGCTCTCCGCCCTCGTGCAGACTCCCCGGCGTCTCGGGGGTCGCATGGCTCCCAATCCCACCAGGGAAGGAAAACTGCTTGAAGAATTTTTGCATCCCCGTCTCATCCTCGGATTTATCGGGATACACCTCGGAGTACACACCCTCAAGATACGACTGCGAGATGATCCCCGGTGCGCCATGGCCCGGACCCGAGACGAACAGGACATTCAAATTGTACTTTTTGATGAGTCTGTTCATGTGGATCCAGGTGAATGACTGGCCGGCATCGGAGCCCCAGTGGCCGAGAAGACGCGCCTTGAGATGTTCGACCTTGAGCGGTTCCTTGAGCAGTGGGTTCTCGCGCAGGTAGAGCATGCCCAGGCAGAGGTAGAGGCTTGCGCGGAAGTAGGCGTCTGTTTTGCGCAGTTCTTCCGCCGAGAGGGGCGTGGCTGACACCGTCGAGCGGGCCTCGCCATAGGCGGAGAGTTGCTTATTTTTGGTTGTTTCTGAAGCCATGATCGCTCTCTTCTCGTTTCCAGAGATTTCTGCTGTCAATAGGAGTGTCGAGCGTGATCTTGTAACGATCGTCGAAGCCAAGACTGAACAAGAGTCTTGGGAGGAGCGAGAGTGGACCTGGATCTGCCCATCGCCAAAGAATCGTGATATATGCTTGTGTCCATGTTGGTGACGTATTATTTCTGATGATTTCAGGGATGGAATTGAATCTCCACGTCATCCAGACCTGTTTTGAGGAGTTGGACCACTTCAGAGCCGCGGGGATCCGACACGCCCAGACCGGGTCACGTGCGCGCTAGTTGCACCGCACCGTGAATCCAGTCGGGTGTGATGCCTTGTCCTTGAGGCACAAAGGCAACGACGCGGCTGGCCAATCCTGTTCAAGACTCATCTTCCTTTTTTTCGACTTTTTGGATTCACAGTGGAGTCATGCATTGAATGCATTTGTTTCTTGGTGCCAAATCTCATGCTAGGTATAACTCAATATTTACTTATACCTGTCACACCATAGCCTAATACGCCTCGTCTCTCGTATTTGAGGAGAAAATATATCTTGGTCACCATTTAGCCATCAATACTCTGTACTCCAAAAGTCCAATCTTTACGCAGATTGCATTTTCTGGTTGGGCTCATACTTCCCCCTTGGGTGCCAACATCATGCGGACACACTCATCAGTACCCCAAGCTGATCCCAACTCGTCAAGCTCTCTCGGCTCCGATATTTGGAGACCTGGACGAACGCGCAAGAAAGATTGGAGAAGACCCCACCCACCCACCAGATTCTTGTCTTTATCGCCTGCTAACGAAATCAAGCACACGTCCAACTTCTTCCTGGAAACCACTCCTGGAAATGCCCCCGACCCTTTGGACATAGTACGAACTCCCTCATGGCAGTCCTGCACCAACGTGGCGTCTCACCCGGTGTAATCCACGCCCACGATGGGGACAGCACCCAGTCCTAGAACGACGAGCCATGCTGCGGTGCTGCCGTCGGGGTATTTCTCTGGAGACGGGGAGTTCGATGGGTCGGGCTCTATCGTGACCCCTGGACAATCCTTTTCTGGGGCTGGGGCTGTTTTGTCGTTGTGGTTTTGTTCGGATCCTGGTGGGCAATGGCCCCCTCAATGGGCCTGCTCAACACAATCGGCGTGCTACACGCGTGGACCGTGACGAACTTATGCGAAGTCGCAGGTTGGATGGGTTTTTGGGACTTTTAGCTTCTTTTTTTTATTTTGGAGCGGCGCAGGTTGGTATTCCCTACCTCTTGATTTACCCCTGTGGGGCAAGCCGGGTGGAGAAGAGAGCTTGAATACAAGCTGATGCGTGTGTTTGTGCGTATGGTGCAGGTCCTATATTCGATAGCCGCGGCGTCCTCCCTGTCGTCCTACCGGGCTCAATCGGCCTGATCGCGTCGATATTCTGCTTTAGCGAGAGTACTGGTACGACCTCCTCTCCCACTTCCTCCCCAGTACCCCAGCATCGACAACCATACTAATTAAACTAGAATACTACCAAATCCTCCTCTCCTTCAGCATCCTCGGCGGCCTTTCCTCATGCTGCCTCTTCACCTCCGCAATATCAGCCTTGGGCCACTGGTTCGACGCGAATCGCGGGCTCGCCACGGGGCTCGCCTGCACAGCCGGCGGGCTCGGCGGTGTCTTCTTCAGCCTGATCATCCTCTACGTCTCCCCCGTCCTCGGCTTCGCATGGGCGATGTGGATCATCGGGATGATTTCCCCGGCCCTGTGTACCCTTGCCTGTCTCCTCCAGATGAGGTTGCCAGCCAACAATGAGGCCGGGATGGCGGTTGATTTTGGCGCGTTGAGGGATGGCAGGTATGCGCTTACGATGGCCGCGATTTGGCTCGTGGAGTTTGCGGCGTTTATCCCGTATGCGTATCTCGTTTCGTATGGGCTGCATGCGGGGGTGGGACGCGATGTCTCGTACCAGCTGTGTAATTTGCTCAACGTCGGCGCGATCCCTGGCCGCGCACTCCCGGGGATCCTGGCCGATCGCCTGGGGCGGTTCAACATCATGGTAGTGACGGCGATCGGGTGCGCGCTCTCGACGCTCGCGCTGTGGTATTGTGCTGGGAGTAATCGGGGTGCTGTGGTTGCGTATGCGGTTCTCTACGGGTTCTGGTCCGGGGCGGCGATTAGCTTGACGCCTGTGTGTATCTTGCAGGTTTGTCGGATGGAGGATTATGGGAAGCGGAATGGGACGGCGTTTACGCTTGTTAGTCTCGGGACGCTTACGGGGATTCCCATGGCTGGGGCGATTCAGGAGAGTGAGGAGGGTGGGTTTTCAGGGTTGATTATCTTTGCTGGGGTGCTGTATTTGGCTGCTGCGGGGGCTTTTCTTCTTGCGAGGGGGGTTGCCGGGGGTTGTGGGGTTAGAGTCAGCTTTTGAATGGTGACGAGGGAGGGCATGATGAGATGAAGTAGATATTTTCGGAATTTATGGACCGGTAGCTCAGACGGTACCATTCTAGACCTTCCCGTCCTCGCCAGCAGACTTGGGATCCCTCCTTGCGACCTTTTTCTGTGTCTCGCTCCTCAGGTGCCGCCAGCCGTTGGCCAGGTGCATTTTGAGCGAGTTTGCCTGGAATGCGATGGCCATGAAGAAGCCGGAGACGGCAACTGAGACACCGATTATATGCCCAGACAAAGGTTAGCAGTATTTCAGAGAAATACCGAGCAAGCAGAGCCTCTTACAAAGTATTGAATATCCACCGTCCTTGGTAAGCGTCCTCGTTGCCTTCGTGCGGAAATTTGCTGATGTTCAAAGCGAACAGACTTGTGAGGAAGGGGAGGGGGAGCTATGGAGAATTCTGTAAGCACCGCGCTCGAGAGTAAGGGGAGGAGAACTAACAAAAACGATAGTTACGGTGAGTACCGCCATTGTGTCGGCCTGTTTCGTTGCATCCTGCGCCCGCTGCCTTGCGAACTTTGCTTCTGTCAGGCTGGCCTGCTTTTGCTTGTGTATGGGTTGACTTCTGAGCGACCTCGGCGTCCTGGATCATGGCCATAATGTCCCTCTTGACTTCGGAAGGTTCATTATATTATTAAGACAGTGTTTCATCATGTGCACATGCCCTCAACCTGTTGTGATTCACCGTCTTGCGCTGATAGGATAAGTGGATTTTGAAGGGGAAAAAGGGAAGTATGCTTAGTGTCTCAAGCAGCGGCAATATGAGCGCTGTACTGCGTGAACGCACTGCGTGGTCAAATGCAGTATTCCCGAAGCTCCCAGTCGGCGCGACCAATGATGCCATCAAATCGGTCGGGCTGCGGTGTAGCTGATTTCTGAGAAGTGCCCGGCAGATACTTCCATGCCCACCTTCCCAGGCGGAATGCGAAGCACTCTATTGCATGGAACTTGCAACTGTCGGGCCTGCTCCTCTGGCAAGCAGATCATCAACGGCAGCCACACAGCCTTCGCGCGCTGCCAGGGCCAGAGCGCTTTCCGAGTCGATAGTCTGCAGTTCTACGAGCTCCGATCTCGCTCGAAGGGTAGGTTTAGGATATGGGTGTGCCCACATGTGGCTGCAATATGAAGCGCAGTGGAGCTTTCCCATCGCTTCTGGGATAAGACATTTATACCCCTCGGACCAGAAGATTTGTGACAATCGATGTATTACCCACTGCAGACGCCCATAATAGCGGCGTCCAGCTTTCCACGGCTGGGTGTATCAGCATCCCAGGGTGAGGAGTGCGGAAACCAAAAATGAAAGTCTTATCAAGGTATTGCGAAGGCAGCAAATCCTCAAGCCTTGAAGAGTCGTCATCCTCCATTGCGTTGTCTATTTTGGCCTGCCAACTGTTCTCTGTCCAATATGTTCTCAGGAGATGGTCGGTGCTGGCTTCTGGTTTGATTTGCTCCTTGTTGCATTTGCTGTTGTGGTTGATGATCTGGTCGTCCGTTCCATCACTGCCCCTGCCGGCATTTTCGATTGGGGGCGAGCGATCCAGGCTATCTCCTTTGATCTGTCAGCGAGTACGTTCCTGCTAGAATGATAAGTTAAATCAGTTCGCAAAACCGTCCGAGCTGTCCGACAGGTTGCACAGCAAGTTTCATACGGGTTATGATATAGCGGCCAATTACCGATAATTGAGAGACTTAGAAAAATGGGTTTGCAGTGTGTGTTGAGATGGACAGGTGTGGAAACCAGCAAACATTGAAGCGTCTGGGAAGAGCCTGCGCCTCATCCAAGTTTCAGCTCACCAGCAAGCTGACGATACAGAAACGATCAACGGGATGCACACAGGGGCGGTCACTGACGGGGTTCACTCATCGGGTATATGCATGCATAAATCACCAATCGCTTGTCAGCCTCAACTTTGAGGTTGCGACGCGGGCATTGAGTTGTTCCTGTGGCTATGGACGAATGGTCAGCTTTCGATGCCAAGATAAAAAGTAAACATCTTGGATCATCCATTGAAATCGCACTCCTTGATTTCAGCCTTGCGAGCCTCCAACGAAAGTGGCTCTGGCAAATGCTTCTTCTGCCTAGCCACATTGGAGCTGCTGCTGGTTCCACGCTCCAATCCCGCCAGGTTTCCGACTGCACATTGTGATTATGCAGGGTACTCTTACGGAGGCGCCCGATCTTTGTTTCGCTATCGCGGGCCTGTTTTTCTGGATACCAAGCAGGCCAGTTAGCAACATAGACAGTTGGATTATACGTTATGGTCTTCTCCGAGTTCCTGAGAAAGTGACTACCAACACACTGGAACAGAGCGACATGGAGGGTTGCTAAAGGCTGAGGCTTGCCAAAACCCACGCCCGCCCCACTGCGAGCGATAACTGGAAGCGTCACGCGAGGGTGGGCGATTCGCAGATAGCACCGAAGTGTATCAATGCCATCAAGGCTGAATTGAAATGTGAGCCGGACCGAATGGTCGCCCTATGGGTGTCATACCGCACCGAGGAAAAAAAGGAACGAGAAAAATAATAGGAGACTACCTGGCTTTGCACCTCCTCGACGATGCAACTTACACAGCCTTTTCCGAGTTACGGAAGCACAGCCTCTGTGCACAGCCTTCCTTGCATAGCTGCGGCGCCGCTGCGGCTACAGAGGGAGAGACAAACCTTGCCAAAGGCTCCTGGTTTAAGAAATCTGGTTCGGATGAAACAAATTTTAACGCTCCCTTGTGTTGGCGCTTAAGGGAGGCCTTTAACCTCAACCGCTACCCAGTCGATGCGCTCTGTTAATGACACTCTCATACAGTCAATTCTCCTCACAACATGGGAGGCACACAATTGGTGCACTGGATGGTTGTGTCTACAAACCGAAAGTTCACCTGGCCTCGCTGATTCCTCGCTGATTCCTGCTGCAGCGGTAGGTTTAGGATGTTGGCTGTTATAGTCCAATGATGGCGCCGGTTGCTCGTTGGAAAAGAAACGAAATAAAAAGAAGAGTGTTAGATCTATATCAATCACTCTTATACTTGCGCAATTCACAGTTGCCACAGCAGAATCGCGCGAAGCCTTACCCTCCGTTACTCGGCGCGGTAGGCTGTCAGCTCCGTTCGCTGAAGTCGAGGTAACAATTCTCAGGCTCAAAAGCCCAGCGCTACCCTGATCCTTCTGAGCTCAGCTTTGTATTCAATCTTTCTCTTACTTACAGTGCACTGTCTACAAGAATTCGGCCTTAAGGTATCATACAATCTTGCCGTCTCGAGCCGAGCTATACAATCCGTCCGGACCAAAGAATGTCTTCAGTCGCCCGCCAGTCACCACCTGTCGAGCAAAAGAAAAGCTGGCGAAAGATATTCATCGCCTCCGTCGCAGGCGGCGCCATCGCAGTCATCGCCGGCCCCTCCATCACCGCCGTCCTGGCCCCCTACGCCCTGTACGGCTTCATCGCCTCGACAACAGCAACCGGCGTCCTAGGAAGCGTCACATCGAAGGTCGTATCCAACGTCATTGACGCGGACGCAGTCACACTGACAATCCATCAACACCCCGTGCAGCGCTTCTACCGGCAGACCGTGAACGGGTACATCGGATCCGTCCTCGAGAGCGTCCTGTACTGCATCCAGATCAACAGCGAGATCACCCTGACGAACCGAGTGTACTTTGACCTCAGCGATGCATTCGACTTCCGTGGAGCGAGAGCAAAACAGAATCGGAAGATGTTCTTTGAGTTCAGGTACAAGGTTATTCCTGCTGCGGGGAGTCGGGCGAGGCCTCTACGCAGGGGCATCCCACCCCGGGAGCTCCCGACGTACGACGCAGATGCCACGAGGGAGGTCGTCGTGGGTGCCGGGAAGTCCGTGCTCGATGGCACGGGCAGGGCAGTATTGGAGGGATGTGCGTTCGGGCTTGTGGGCGGTGGGCTAGGCAAGTGTGTGCCGGGGGGTATGAAGCAGATCCACGTCCCGACAGTCCCCGGCAAAGTGTCGATCATCGTGGGCATGTCATCTGCCACGGGTGTTATGGGACCGGCGAAGGACCTGCTGTTTGCTGGGGCGACTGCCGACAAGGCGTCGCTCTGGCTTGAGTTTGTGACGGAGGTGCAGGACCAGGTGAATCGGGTGATTAGGTGCGCTAAAGACAATGGAGTGGGGATGGAGATCAGTATGGCGATTGCGTCGAGCGAGAAGGTTGATGGGAGTTTCCCAGAGATGGGTGCGACGGGGTCTCAACACCATGATTTGTTCTGGTATACGGAGGTGACCTGCTGAGTTTTTTCCAGTTTCCATTGAAGTTTGTCCTGTGTCTCTTGTGGTTCCTGCGGCTGTGTGGTAAGCATGGGGCCTATATCTCGTCTCTTCAAGTTTAGAAATACAAGATGGCTGATCGCGTTGCTTCTTGTCGTCCGGGCCGTTGATCTAGGTCGAGGATCTGAAGGAGGTTGAGAGGTCTGTCATTCTGAATAACTGGGGAAACAGCACTATTTAAGCACAGGAATCGACTAAACTAAATAAGGAAATAGGGGCTATCCAATATTACTGCTCTAATCGCTATATCTCGTGAGTCCTGAGAGGAATGTTCGATGGAATGGTGAGAGGAATGCTTGCGCGGGGTCCAGAGCCAGGGGCTCCAGCCGACACACCCCCTCAGCGGTTGGAGGTTCCTAATTAGGACGGGATGAGGCTCGAGATATTAACCATATTTAACATCTTGATAAATTCTTAGTGTAGTGGTTTTAGGAGAGCCTTGGTAAGTCCGTCCATAGGCATAGATCATGAGGGAACCTAGGTGACTTGTAAGCAATATTATTAAACCTCTTGACGTAGCCAGGCGTGGTGTACGTTAACATGTCGTAGCTTGGTGTGTACTATTATTATCTCCTTGCTTAATAAATTGATTGTAGAGCTATTATCATAATATATTTCAAGGTCCTCTTTAGGGTTGAAATTAATATCTCTAAAAATCCTCTTCTACTAGTATAATGACTTAGTGGCTTTAATTATTAATATATATTCTGCTTTAGTTATTAATAGTGAGATGATACGTTGTTTCTAAGATCTCTAGTTGATTAGTCCTTCATATAGTAGGTAGATGAATCCTCTAGTGCTCTTTTAATCATGGGTATTAGCAAATGTAGTATTAGTAGTGGTAAGAAATACCTAACTAGCTTGTATTAAGCTTCCTCCATATTCTAAAGCAAGGAACCTTGTGTTGTAGAGGTAAGTAATAACCTAATTAGCAGCCCTAATATGCGTAGTTGTCACGGTCGGAGCGGCCTAGATGCCTGAAGGGTCAGGCCCCCGGTCGGAACGGTTCAGGTACATGAGGTGCCTGAGGGATCAGGCTCATCGGGAAGGGCCGACAGCCAGGGGTCGACTGATTAACTTAGTCAACTTAGCTAATCCGCTCACACAACCTAAGGAGGTTGGCTGAGGGGTGAGCTAAGAGGTTGACTAAGGAGATCAAGAGACCTTAACTTAACGTTATCCTTTTAATAGCTGGTTACTTAGGTCCCCTAAAGGTCCCAGATATCTTACAAAGCAAGGATTAGTTTTGTTCTAATTCAATATCTACCTTAGTGATATTATACCTAATTAACTTCTCTTTAAGACTCTTATAATTTCTAATCCTTCATCTTTAATCACCTATAATATCATCATGGTTTCCTCATCATCCCCTCCCCCCGGCCCTTTGACCAGGTTACGATCAAGTCACCCTACTAGTGAAGTTCAAGCATTAGAATAAATTCCACCTCCTTAAAGAATATAGCCCCAGTAATCTTCCACGGCGAATAAGAATAGTATTGAGGAGCCTATTTTAGAGGAACAACTAGATAAACTAAAACGGAAGGTTAACCATCTTAAACAAGTTAATAACCTTAAGCGAAAAATCCGTGACCTCTAGCAGGAAATAGGCTAACTAGAATACTCACCTCCTCCTTGATAACTATCCACTTTAATTAATCCCGAACTGTTGAGTGTACGAAGGGCAGTCGAACCTATATCAAAACCTTATTGCAAGGAAATTAAGATTAAGCGTATTAAACCTTTCACGCTTGAAACTACTTTACAGGAATGGGAAGAATGGCTTATGAATATTAAAACTATTATTAAGTGTGCCCCTATAAAATACAACACTAATTATAGTAAGATTACTGCTGGGTGGAATGAAATGGATGATGCTTATTAAAGGAAGTGGCATTAATACGTTATAGAAAGAACGGCGGGAGGTCTTTAGAACAAAACCAAAACGTGAGACTATTTTAAGGAATGGATACTATCCTTACTCTATAACTTAATAACCCTTCATTCTAACCTTATAATAGCAAAGAACCGTGCTTAATAATAAATTAGTCAAGATCCTCAGGATTTTAATAGTTATCTTAAGAGCCTTGAATATTATTTTCCCTAGGTTAATAAAGAGCAACGTGCTTTAATTTTCTTTTTCAAGCTTTAAGTCAATCTTTACTAAAAGATATAAGAAACTATGCCTTAACTACCTACTACCTAAGAGGAAATGGTAGCAAAAGTAAATCAGTATTAGTATCTTATGAGGAAGGCAGCGTTTCTACTACAAAAGGATAATACTAGTCCTACCTTAAAGACTTATCACCTAAATAAAAAGTTTAATTAGAATACAGGAGGTCGGCCAAACAACATAGATAATTCCAAGAAAATCTGATGAAACCCTATTAGTAAAGATAGGAATATCCTCTACTATTATAATTATCAAAGCGATACTCATCTCTCTAATCATTACCCCAAACCAAAATCTGGGCGCAAAACTACTGTTTAGGAGATGATTGCTGAGTAAGACTTAACTAATTCTTCTAACCCCGAAGCAACTACTTTAGAAAATGATGATTAGTTAGAGATACATCCCCATCCTTAGCTAAACACCCTTTTGTGGGGATAGCCACTCGTTTTACTATTAATATCTAAATAAAACATTATATTTTTACTTATGCTGATGTAGACACCTGTGCTAAGGTTAATATTATTAGTCGCCATCTTGTCTACTCGTTAAAGTTATAGTAAGTAAAACTTATAGCCCCTAATCTCCGTGCTATTAATTCATAATAAATGCTAACCTATAGAGTATAGAAGGTCCCTATATCTACTACTAATTCTCAAGGGACTAAACGATATTTTACCTAAGATTATGTTGTAATTAACTGTGATCTGTCCTTAAAAGGTAGCCCTGTCTTATTATTAATAACTACCCTTTAGGACGAGCGTATCATCTTAGACCCCGAATCCTAAAAATAGTGGTTTAAGACACCCAAGTTTGAACTCCTTAATAAATTCAAGTTTATGAAAGCCTGCTAAAACGAAGCCCATGTGTTCACTATTATTAAATTACCTTAGGAAGTGTGGCTCCCTCTTGATTCAGGAAATAAATTAGATTTAGAACCACTATCAAACCCTAATAAATTACCTCTAGAATTTGAAGGGTTTCGCGATCTATTTAATAAGGCTAAAGCAAAATCCCCTCTAATGCTTGAGAAGAGTCAACATGCTATTATTCTAGAACAGGGGACGAAACCTCCTTAGGGACTGATATATCCTTTATTAGTATCCAAACTCAAAGCTTTACGCGAATATATTAACGATAACATTGCTTCTAGGCGAATTTAACCATTATAGAGTTCTGCAGGGGCTCTAATTCTTTTCATACCTAAAAAAGATAGTGGTCTTTGATTATGTGTTGATTATCAAGGACTCAACAAGGTTACTATAAAGAATCAATACCCCCTACCACTTATTTCGGAAATTTTGGATCGTTTGGCTCATGCTAAATTCTTTACCAAGCTTGACCTTCAAGATGCTTACTATTGTATCCACATTGATGAGTAGGATCATTGGAAAACTGCTTTTCAATGTTAATATGGTCACTATGAGTATACTATTATGCCTTTTGGCTTAACAAATGCTCCTGCTACCTTTCAGGACTATTTATAATCTACTTTATATAATATTCTTGATTAATTTTACATTGTTTATCTTGATAATATTCTTATTTTTTCCCTTAACCACGTCTCTCATACTTAGCATATTATTAAAGTCTTTAAACGTCTTCAAAAAGCTGACCTTTATATCAAGGAAAGCAAATGCATCTTTTATTAGACTAAAATCAAGTTCTTAGGGTATATCGTATCCCGAGATGGGATATCAATAGATTCTCGTCGTGTTGATGTTATCGCATCGTGGGACGAACCCAAGACGTTCCATGATATATAAGTTTTCCTTAGATTTTGTAACTTTTATCACAGATTTATTAAGGACTATTCTAGAATTGCTTTACCTCTCACCAATTTACTTTAAGGTAGTAAAAATGGCAAGAAACCTAGATCTATGAACTTCTCGTTGCATGAAAAGATTGCTTTTTAATAACTTATTACTACGTTTAAGTCTGCTCCGTTATTACGACATTTTGATTTCCATTTACCTATTTGAATCGAGACCGACGCTTTAAAAAATGGAATGGCTAGTATTATATCACAACCTGATTCACAAGGCACATGGCATCCTGTTGCTATCTAGTCACAAAAATTTTCACTAACAGAACAGAACTATTCTACACCTAATCAAGAATTATACGCTATTATTTATTCTTTTAAACATTGGCGTCACTACCTTGAGGGTGTAATTCATACTATTAAAGTTCTTTCTAACCATGCTAATTTACAGGTCTTCATGCATCAACCACGCATGAATGGCAGGCAAGTAAGATGGTGCTTGTTCCTGACCCCTTTTGATTTTATTATCAAGCATCGTGCAGGCAAGAGAAATCCTATAGATAGTCCTTCCCAGAAATATATAGGTAATTTTGAAAGGACCTTAAAGGCTAAATTACTAGCCCTAATTCAAAGCTATATTGTTGAAGTTTCTTTAATAACAACTTTAGATTTCATGCATGAGAAATCCTAGTTTGAACCAGGCGAGATGCCCTTAGAGGAAGTCTATCCTTAGTTTAGTACTCATGATAAGCAGAGATCCTTGGGATCTGGTACAAAATCAGCTAACTAGGCTGTATGGGAAGATTTGTGTTTGAACTAGTATCTTCCCCAGGTTGTTGCTTCACAGTTAAAGACAATAGAAGGGAAAATAGACCTTTAAGAGATCCTATGTCGACTTTAAGTCGAAGATCCAGAGACACGTCATTGGAAGCTTGCTATTAAGAATAGGTAACCTGGCCAAAAGCACTAGTCCATCAATTATAATGGTCTTCTTTGTTTTTAGAAACGAATCTATGTCCCCCCTACACAGGA